GGGCAGGCCGAAGGGGCAGCCTGCCCGCGAGCCGAGCTCCTCGCGGGGTCGGCTTTGCCGTGCTGCGCCCGGTGGCCGCGTGGGCGCCGTCGCCGGGCTGCGGCTTCCTCCGGCGCAGCTCCGGGAGGTTGCGCGGGGCTTGTCGCGGGTCCGGGGCAGGCGGGCAGTCCGCCCCCGCGGCCGAGGCACAGCTCCCGGCGCCCCGGCGGAGGGCCGCGCGGGGGGGCGCCTGCGAGAGGAGGGGGCCGCCGGCTGCCTGCCGGGCCCGCTGCTGCCCCCGGGGTCTGCGGGGGGCGGGGGTGGCCGGCAGGCTTCGCCCACGCCCGGGCTGCTGGCCCCTGGAAGAGCGACGGCTCGTAGGAAGGGCAAGAAGGGCCTGAGCGACTTCGCCTTTAAAAATTGCCCCGTGCTTTCGGTGGACTGCTGCTTTTCCTCTTCGCGGTTTATTGTTTAAAATTGTCCTGCACCGCCTTGAGGGCTCTTTAGTAAATAACGTAGTATGTTGCCAGTCGCGAAGTCGCGTCCGACCCATCGCGACCCCATGGACAACACTCCTCCAGGCCTTCCCGCCCTCCACCATCCCCGGAGTTCACTCAAGCTCACACCCACTGCCCCAGTGACCCCATCCAGCCACCTCATCCTCTGCCGTCCCCTCCTCCGTTTGCCATCCATTGTTCCCAGCACTGGGCTCTTCTCCAGGGAGTCCTCATTCGGTGGCCAAAGTACTTGAGCTTCATCTTCAGGATCTGGCCTTCTAAAGAGCAGTCAGGGTTGATCTCCTCTAGGACTGACCGGTTTGATCGCCTCGCGGTCCAAGGGACTTGCAGGAGTCTCCTCCAGCACCACAATTCAAAGGCCTCATTCCTTTTGCGCTCAGCCTTCCTTATAGTCCAGCTTTCACAGCCATACCTTGCAACTGGGAAAACCATAGCCTTGACTATACGCACTTTTGTTGGCAGGGTGATGTCTCTGCTTTTTTTTTTTTTTTTTGTAGTATATAAATGCTTTTTTTTTTTTTTAAAGAGCAATTTTCCTTCACTACCTGAAATTCTGCTCCTTTTCAGGGACAAGATGCCATGGGGTGCCATATAATGGCAGTGGTTTGTGTGTGTTTGGGAGCATGTCAGTTTTTGTTGGTGGCCCGAAAATTGCCTCCCAGCAGCTCCCTTTGCACGGGCAGTTAAAGTGCAGTCCTACACATGTTAACCCTTTTTAAAAAGCTCAGCAATACCTGCCCTTCAGGGGCTGTTACGGCTGGCTGGAAGTTGTAGGACCTCTTCTGGTCCAAACGTGTAGGATTTCACACTAAGGAAGCCATATTTCCTCTTCTCACATCATTCTTCTTAACCAGGATGTTTAAAATGCTGTTCTGATTTCCATTCACTTACTGCTCTGTTAGGATTTAGTAGTGCTGTAGAATATGGTACTGTTGTAAAAAGTGTCTTGTAAAACTTGCCTAATTTCATGTTTGCTGCGCTAGGGTATACTCATAAGTAAGAGTGCAGATCTCCATATGAAAAACAGCACAGGAACCCCCGTCAAAAAACCTTTTATACGGAACCAGAGTTTTGTCAGCTAGTTATCAAAGCTCTGTGATCTGCTGAAAGAGGTGGGGTTACTGCACTTTTCCACCTCCTTGAGCACCTGGAGTCCTGTGAATAGGTGGAAAAGTTAGGGGCCCTGGGACCTGCCAAGGCAGCCCAAACCGCCTGGGAGGCTTCATGTCCCTTTACCCTTCTTCACCAAGGGGAACAGTAAGCAACACGTTTACGCGTGTGTGGGATCTAACAAGAATAGCAGTGCGATCGTAAACTACGTTTAATCAAAAGCAAATCCTATTGAATTCAGTGGATTGTAGTCCCCATAAAGGCACAGTCCTGGGCGTACTTAGAAAAAAGAGTGTTAAACTGAAGGATATGATTAAATGTGAGCTGGGCTTGGAAAAAACCACTTCCAGCAGTGGGGTGTGGTGCTCGTTGTCTAGAAAGCAATCCCCACCCGCCTTCCACGCATAACCAAATTGGCATGCAAATGTTCAACAAACAGGCGAAGGACTGGTCTACTCCTAGGAGGCCATTTCTTGCTAGCAACTGCTCCTCTCCTGTGTGCCTAGCATCCTTGGGAGTTAAATTTGTTTTGAGAGGTAAGAGGTTTCGTTTGTTATACAACCCTCACTGTTTAAGGGTTAGTTTTAGACATGCAATTATAATAAATACTCCACCTAATGAGCTACATAAACCAGTTGGACCAGTGCAGCAACTTCTGTTCTCTGTGTAAGATCCAGGAGGTTAGTTTTTCCTAAGCTGTTCTAGCCTGTACTTTGCAAATTTTCTGGTGTGCTTGATGTTTGTAGTATCTCCTTCTGAGCCAGAGTTGTCTATTCCATTCTAAAAACTGTGAGGAGGCAAGTGGGTTTCTCTGATCTGCGTAAACCACGTCAATCAACAAAATGTGCAGGATTCCTTAGAACAGCAGCTCCTATTATGTTGCATAATTTATTTTGGTTCTGGTAATTATATGCAGGAATAAGAAACGGCATTGCTCCCACTCAGCGTCTTATCAGAAGCATCTTTGGCTTCTCAGAGTTAACCGGGCTTCTTGTGCACATCTTGTAAAACCATAAGAGCTAGAAACTTGCCCGAGAAGGAAGAATGTTTCAGCCAGCATTTCTAATCTGTGGCGTTTCTGCACACTTGCCATTGCCTGGCCTCTAAGGCCTTTCTGGAGGATGTTCATATTGTGCATTACATGGCCCACATGTTGATTGGTCACTGCATTGGATCTTGGTGCGTCTGTCACACACAGTGAGGGTTGAAGAAGCGCTGCACCAGAATGTTGAAAGGGCAGTGCTGTGAATGACTCAAACGCGCGAGGCAAGCAGTGTGTGGCTGCAGAAAGTAAAAAGCTTTCTTTCTACTTAGGAAACACTTTTTCCTACCCCGAGCTGGAGAGCCAGTATCTTTCCACTGGGCAAGGCAGTGCAAACCAGGGTTTGTTCCACTCTAAACGCAGCTTTGAAAATGAGTATCATCCAAAGCAGAGAACTGCAGGATTTGGTGAATTAATGAGCACATGCAAAGGTGGGATGCAAAGCAGGAGAGACCTTTTGAAATGACGCAAAGATTTAATTGTGGGCACTGCTGTGATTAACTGGAGATTGCTTGGGTTGCGTTTTGAGCCTTGTCTAGTCATGAAATGCATCCCACAAAGGGCCTGTTTGCACAAGCAAGTGACTTCCCGGGAGGTGGGCATGAGTTCACTGTTCTGTTTCCAAATGCATGTGGTACCCCAGTGTGCCCTCGAAGAACGGATGCATCTTCCACTGCAGCCCTCGGAGTGGGGGGGCAGGGAAAGAGTGTAGCATGGGCCCCCTCCTCCTGTCAGCATGTGGGCAGTAACACTGCCAAAGGAATACAGGATGCGCCAGGCAACATTGCAGCTGGAAATGCCTACTTCAATGCAGTCCGCAAAGTAGACTGGCTTTATTTATTAAATATACCCTGCATGTGTTCCTGAGGCAGCATTTGAGGTGAGGGTAACTCATGGAAGTCCAGCAGGAAGCACCTGACCTGACATACCTCGGGAGGGTTGCTTTGCCGAGGTCTTAGCTGGCCCCTGGGCTTTGCCTTTAGCAGCAACTTGATGCACAAAGTTGCCGATTTCTGCAGATCAAGCTCATGTGCAGTGCGCAGAAAGCGTTTGGGCAGCTGCCCCTGCTGACACTTCGATGCTGCAACCGTCTCCCACTGAGATGGATGTTAAGAGGACTCGATGACTCGATCGAGGCAGCTGGCCCTGCTTCCCCACTGGAACCTCCACTCCAGGCTTGCTTGTGATTCTGAAAAGTGGGAAGTAGAGATTTGAACGAATAAACCCCGTCATTCTGGCAGCCGGCTAATGGAAAGCGACCACTCCAGGAGAGCAGCTGACGCGCTCTTTCCGTGCAAGGCAGACAGGAAATATGGGCAGAACAGCAAACAAGCATTCAGTGTTATGTTTTGCATCGCTTTCCGTTCTGCTGTTGCAAAGCCCATGCCTTGGCCAGGGCGACTTATTTTATATTGTTAATTCATTTTATATTTTTAGTGTATTATATTTTAATTGATGTTTTGTGAGCCGCCCCAAGGCTTCGGCGAATGGGGCGGCATAGAAATTTTCTGAATAAATAAATAAATAAATAAATAAAGCGATGGAAAGAACAGCAAATGAAGATGCTTTGCAGCTGGAATGGATTAGGGTTATTTGAATATGTGGCAGGGCAGAGAAGGCAAGAGTAAATTGTCACATTTGCATCTGAACTTAAGTTGAGCTGTGTGGGATCAGGCCAAAGACCTGTCCAGGCCAGCATGGCGGACCGGATGCCCACACGTGGGCGTCAGTTACCCTCTCCTGCGGTAACTGGTAGAAGCCGCTACTGATATGGAAGGTACCACCGAACCAGCAGCCGCATGAGCTTCGTTGCTCATGAATATGTCTAAGCCCTTTTAAAGCCATCAAAATTGGTGGCTGTCACATCCTGGATGTCACCAGGGCATCACTCCAGTCTGTTATGTAACAGAATCCACAGCAGAAGGGAGCTGAACCTGTTCTCCCCGCTTTCCGTTTCCTTTGGCTCTTCTCTGTGGGACGAGGGACAGCAAGGTACACGGTGGAGCCTGGGGGCAGCTGGGTTCCGTTCCCCCTACCTGTGGGTGGAATGCCTTGGTAAAATGCAGGCACACCCCCCTTCTAGACACGCATCGAGTTCTTTCTTGTAAATCCGAGCAGCCAGTTCAGCCCTAGAAGGTCCAGGAGGAAACGAGGGGGAGGGCTGGTGGCGGTTTGTGGCAGTGGTGGCTTCAGGCCCCTCACGGAGGCTTCCTGGTAAGTGGCTTGACCCATGGAAAGGAGAACATTGCAAGAACCATTCTTGCTTAATAGGTTTCCTGTCCTGGACAAGGCAAAACCACAAAGAACAAGTTGGGAAATGTTTGTAGAACTGTTCAAGGAAAAAGAAGGCCTCATCTGATATGAATACATATGAAGAGGCTGGTTGGGAGAGAGCAGTGGCCGATCAGGGCAGTGAGCCATCGCGTACCGAGCTTACGTGTGCAGCTCTAAGAGTGAAGGGAAAGAACATTCCGAGACACTTTTAGTGGATGGCCTGTAAAAGCTTTACGACATAAATAAAAGTGCTTGCAGGTGGACGTGCCCCCGACAGCCAGAAGTCACTATGGGCAAGGTATGTGCTGTGCTTTGTCTTGCTTCTTCGCTGGTTGTAGACCATGGCGGTGAGCTCTTTCCATGCGAGAGTCTAGGATGCTCTGGGGGACATGAGATGCTCCGTAAACCCAGCTCTGAGGCCAGGGACAGAGCTCCTCACTTGCAGCCGAAGTCCCCTTTCGGATCCCCATCCCTTGCAGAAAGTGCTGCACGGGCTGCCGCTCTGAGGTCGGCAACTTGACCTGGCGGAGGGGCAGAGGAGGCTGCGAAGCCGGGCTGAGAACTGGCATGTTTCCTGCACCTGCTGAAGGGCCTCAGTGACCCAAAGCACGTGTCTAGCAAAGGGGCTGCGCAGAAGAGCAAGGAGGAAAAGATCCCTCGGAGTCTGGGGTCTTACATTGAGGGTGCAGCCCATAGGATCAGCTGCACCCTAACTGACTTGAATACCTTTGCTTGAGGTTAATAAATGCTTCAAACGCAATCCCTGACAATCCCCAAGAGGACGAAGCAACCGAGGCACCTGCAGCTCTGTGGGCGAGGGAGGGAGCCCGGCCCCATTGCAAACACCCGCACCTGCTGTGGGTCGGCAGAGGGGTGGAGCCGGGGCTCAGCGTGCAGCCTTGTGCCCCCCAGAGTGGAAGAAGTGTCCAAGCAGGGCTTGAGTCTTCCCTTCTGTGGGGATCTGCCCTCAAGGAGCTCTCCTTGAAGGCAATTAGGAGGGTGACTGCCTGGAGAAGGGCCTTCTCTGTGGTGGCGCCACGACTGTGGAACACACGCCCCAGAGAGGTTCGCCTGGCACTCACTTTATTCTTTCTGGCACCAGGCTAAATCCTTTTTCTTTTCCCAATGGTTTAAGATTTGATTGTTTTAATAAGGTTTTATTGTTGATAGGAAAATTTTCATTAGGATGCTGTGTTCTGTTTTATTTTGACATATTGTTAAACCATCCCAAGAGACAAGGGACAGTCGAGAAAAGTTTTGAAAGAGAGAGAGAGAGAGAGAGAGAGAGAGAGAGAGAGAGAGAGAGAGAGAGGACAAACAAATGGCACAGGTCAACTTCTAAGCCAGGATGCGAATGCCATCACCAGAGCAGTACATGTTAACCGTCACATTTCAAAATGACACTTCACATTTTATCCCCTATTGCCAGGTCTTGAGCACTTGATGTTGATGAACAAACCGTCATGACTTGTAGGATTTCTTTTCTCCCTAAATGTTCGTGGGACTGCACCTTAATGGTTGCAACAGAATATGATGTACTCAGCCTTTCAGCCAAAGCTGGCTTCTGAAGCAGTGTGTGCTGAAAATGACCCCACAGGGTTGCCAGATGCGTGTGTGCGCGTGCCCCGCACTTCCTGCGGACATAGCTTGGGTTCAAGGCAGGCAGCGCATCAAGGGGCCAAATTCTGCTCCTGACAGCACATTGCATTCATGCGTTAGCTAGCAAGCCCAGCCCGGGTGCTTTTCAGAATCCTCTCATTGTGTTGCCTGATTGCTCTGTGGGGGGCCGCAACTCCCCAGGGGCAGGGCGTTTGCGGAAGCATCAACTCGGGAGGTGGTGCGGGGCTTGGTTAAATATTATCTCTCACAATCCGCTTCCTTGTTCCTCCGCTGCTGCAGAGAACCTTCTCGGGGGATTCCATACTGGGGCAGAGAGTCCATTGCCATGGTGAGTAGTTTACCGGCCAGGCAGGGCGCATGTGGCACCTGGCACTTCCCGGGCCCAATGAACGGGTTCAGTGTTCCGTGGCGCTGGCTGGGTGTGGGGGACATCAGGAAGCGTTCCCGGATCATGTTTATCAGATATCGCTGCAGGAGGATATGATCTTGTACAAACAGAACTGGCGGCAGTGGGGCCAAAAAACCCATGGCCGTTCATGGTGCTTGTTCGCCCCCTAGCTTAGAGGGTGATTCTCGGCTGCCTGCAAGAACTTCCCACCCAGTGTTGCCCCTGCAAGATAAGACTTTGTTGTGCAAAAGCACCCAGGGCACTTGAGGTCCCTTCCCCCTGGCCAGCGGTCGCTCCGGGGGCCAGCTTTACGCCCTTCGGCTGGCGGTGGCATTCATAGCATCCCAAGCAGGAGCCGTCCTCCGTTTGGCAGCTGGGCCGCTTTCTTTAAATGAGGGCTGATCCGTGGACTTTCCACACGGAAGGTGCAGACTTTAGCACTGAGCTGCAAGGAGAGTTCAGAGGTACCTCGGCTCACTGACTTAACCTGTCCCACAACTCTGGTCGTGGCCCAAATTGGTTGTGAGCCAAGTCAAATTTCCCCATAAGGTTCAGTGTAAATAAGGTTAATCCGTTCTGTAACTATTTTTTTTTACAGAAAAATTTGAAATAAAGTGACAAAGAACAACAAAGTACTGCACCGTACAGTGGAGAACACTAACCTGGGGGGGGGGGAGGTTATTGTTTGGAGGGAGAGGCCCCCTCCATGAGGACACTGGGGGGATCTCTTTCAGGGGTCTCCTCTCTCCTTTGTCTCTTAGCTGCAGGGTCAGTTTTGGGGAAAAATCTGCCCAGAGTCACTCGTTTTTTGTATAGTCACTCGGGGGTGGGGACACGGCCGCGGTCGTGCTGGTTGGGGGCAGTGGCAAGACCACGCACGCCTTCCCGGCACGAGCGCGACTGCGGCCGTGGCCATCTCCCCACTCGGGGGCGTGGGGAGATGGCTGCGATCTTGACCGCCACCCAGTGCGGAGCTCGCGGCCCACCTCAAAGTTTTCATGGAATTTTTGTTCACGACCCGATTCGGTCGTGAACCGAGGTGTTCGTGCGCCGAGACACCACTGCACGTCCCTCGAATCGGAGGTGCGGCAAAAGTCTGGCTCGCTTTGCCGCCACAAACCAGCTTGTGGGCAGGGAAGTTTCACCGGAGCACCGTCGTCCGGAGGCTGCAGGGACGCTTTTCCGAGTGCTGCTGGCTGGGTGGGCGGACTTGCTCAGAGTCCAGTTGCTTCCAGCCTGCCCCCTTGTCTCCAGCGGCTGTGGTGTTTGAGCAGTTCCCTTCTTGCAAGCTCAGGGGGTGTCCCATGGTTCTAGGACCAGGCATCCCTGCTTGTGTACCGGAACCTGGTGCTCACCCGCCAGATGTTGAACTATGGAGCCCAGTGCCTAGTTAGGGGTGCTGGGAGCTGTAGCCCCACGCATCTGGGGTGCCTCAGGTAGGGAGGGCTGCCATCAACACGCCTGCGCCATCGTGCGTGTCCCAGCCTTTGACTGCTGAAATTCTGTGGCTTTAGGCGGGAACCGTGAAGGGAGCTTCCAACTTCAACGCTGATGCAGATGCCCAGAAACTCCGCCAGGCCATGAAAGGACTGGGTACGTAGGTCTCTTCCTTCCATGCGACCCCGAATCTGTCCCCACGGTCCCGCGTGCTCCCAGGGAACGACTGCATGCTGCACAGGGCAGACTCTCAGTTCTGCATCGATGGGCCACGGAAGCGCAGCGGGATTTGCTTTGATACATTGATATATTAGGGAAATTAACCACAGCGGATGCCAGGAACTGAACGCACGAAGCATCTCCCTTGTGTTGGTTTGATGGCCCAGCCATCCTGGCATTGTCAAGTGGGGACTAGACCCCAGCTCCCCCCAGCCCCAAATTCTGACTGCCTCCAGCATCATGCTGTGGCTGCAGTGACTGTGTGAACCAGGCATGCAGGGAATTGTAAAATGTGCCTACCGGGGACCAGGCTGGGAAAAACTGGCACATGAAAGCTTCTGAAGGGTGATGTTTGGCCGCAAGGGTGGTTTTAAGTCCCGGCCTTGCCTTTTGGCTTCCCAGCAGTTGTTTCATAGTATGATAAACGGAGGCGCTTTTTTCCCTGCACCTTTGTCTTGCTCCCTGGATTTCAAACAAATCCCTTGCTTTTCTTTTGCACCAGGCACAGATGAAGATGCCATCATTGAGGTCTTGGTCAACAGGAACTTGGCCCAGCGGCAGGAAATAAAAATAAGATACAAGTCCACAATTGGCCGGGTAGGTGGCATTCAGTGCTGCTGTGCTGAGGCCCGCCGAGGCTGATGCCGTCGCCGCCGCCTCCATGGGGCACGTGGGCAGGCTGGCCCAGGGAGACCTTTGTAAATTAAAATGTGCAGGCCCTTAGAACGGAGCTGTGCACAGTTCCCAGAAGCACCGATGTTTCCTGTATGTGTATCACACTTCTTCCACCTGTAAAATTCTCTGGTGCATAATGCAATTCTCTTTTGTCTTGCTTGGCTCATGGCAGGCTGCTTGGTTAAAAGTTAATGAATAGCACGCCTGGTTATTCTTTTCCCACCTCACGGCATTTCTCTTGCACCAAGTAGAGACGCTTCAACCTTGGACTTCCTGCCTTTCCTAACCAAAGGCTTCTCTTTGGCTGAGAGCATGTTCACTGGATCGCTTGGCACATAATGCTTCGTGTAATGCACGGGTCCTCAAACTACAGCCTGCGGGCTGGATACGACCCGCCATGGTCATTTACCCGGCCCACCTCAGAGCTTTTGGACTCACTTGGAGAAAACGATCTCTCGCTCAGAGACTAGCAGAGAGCTTTTGGACTCACTCAGAGACTAGCAGAGAGCCGGCGCACGTGCAGTTGAAGGGAGCTGTCACAATTTAGCACGTGCGCCGGCTCTTCCCCCTATTGCACGCATGTGTTGCCTTGGAATACAGAGCGGGAATACGGAGCAGAAATACAGAAGAGAGGAGGGTGGTGGGAAGAGAGAGAGATGAAGACATATGAATTCATATTTTTTTCAAACTATAGTCCACGCCCCCAACAGTCTCAGGGACAGTGAACTGCCCCTCTGTTTACAAAGTTTGAGCACCCCTGGTGTCAAGTGATGTTCGCATCCCAAGCACATCTTTCCCCACAGGATTTGATCAGTGACTTGAAATCTGAGCTGAGTGGCAACTTTGAGAAGGTGATTATTGGACTGATGACCCCTGTCACCCTGTATGATGTGGAGGAGCTACACAGAGCCATCAAGGTTTGCCAAATCTTGGAGAGTACCGGGGAACTCTGAATAATAAGCTGGTGTCTTGGAGAAATCTCAGAGGGAGGGGTTTGATACGCAGCTAGATTCTGCCGCTGGAATGCATCACGAGCACCTCCCACGTGCAGTTTCAGGCTACCAAGGCAAGCTTGACGGGGGGGTCGGTGGGGGCTCCCCAGATGTTCCGGGCTTTGATTCCCAGCCCCCCTCCAGCGTGGCCAGCGGTCTGGAATGCTGGCTGTTGTCATGCCTCCAGGTGGGGAGGACTGGCAGAGAGGGGATAGAACGCCCCCAACTGCAGCAGCGTTGGGTTGGTTTGCATTAAAGCAAGCAGTCCTGCCGTGGCACCTTGAAAGCAACAAGCGTGCTGCCGCAAAAGCCCTCGTGGATTAGAGTCGACTTCAGCAGACGCCGAGTCTGGGACTGGGGGGCCAGTGGGCGTTGGGAGCCAACTTGGGAAATGGGCACGTGGCAAGGAAAAAGTAGGCTGGAGAGCACTCTCTTGACACTGACGCAGGTGTGTGGCCCCGAGGCGTCTTCCTCTGTCCTTCTAAGTTCTTCCCTGCCTTCATGAGGACTAGAAACAGACGCGGTTGTGCGCCTCTGTTTGTGGGCAGAGCAAGCCAACACAGCGCTTGTTCTACCTTAAAGGGTAGAAGTGTGCCAAGAAGCTGAAGGCAGCAGCAGCACTTTTAGCTGTTTTGAGGTTCCTGGGGTCCTTGTTTCTGTCCCGGGGTTTGCGATGGTTCCCTAACAGACGGGGGAGTTCCCTGCAAGTCCTGCCTGCTTCGAGGTCAGCCTTCCCTCTCTCTCCAGCAATGTTTCTCGCTCTGTGTTACGTAGGGTGCTGGCACCGATGAGGGCTGCCTGATAGAAATCCTCGCTTCTCGCACCAATGAGGAAATCCGACGGATTAACGAAACCTACCGGCAACGTAGGTATTTGGAGATGCTTCTCTGCTGGCAGGGGGCTTTTTTGGTGTATGTGTTTTGTGGTACCTCCTGTGTAACCCCCAATTCCTTCCACACACCCAATCAACATCAAGGGGGTTTATACGGAAGCGCTTTGCAGTGGATTGGGCCCAAGCTGGGTTGCCTTCCCTTAGTAACTTCCAGCCGTGACCACCTGGGAACTCACTGCCTTGCGGGGGGCCAGGGGCGGGTCGTGTGGGGGGGCTGCGGGCATGCTAGTCTAGCTACATTCCTTGCCTTTCACGGAACGTCCCGCGTCTTTTGTTCTGCCATTTCCAGAACATTCTATCATCCTATCAACAAAATCCTATCATTTTGTTGATAGAATTAGGGGTGGGGGAGTAAACCAAATTCCGCTCTCTTTGTGCTCATTTGCAACTGGGAGTTTGCACGGCTGCGCCCCTTGGAGGCCTGCCAGCCAGACAGTGCGCAGCAGTGCCACGTGCCTTCCCAAGCGAGAAGCCAGCCAGCGAGTCGAGGGGGCCCGCGCGGCTCGTCCAGGGGCGCAGGGGTCCAGCGAAAACCCACGGCGGGTTTGCGGGGCAGGGTGGGCCGCTGCGGCACGGCCCCAGTGGCTCCGCAAGGCATCTTGCCGGCTGCTGGGTGCGGGGAGGAGAGTCGCGCATCGCCTCTTCCTTGAGGAGGGTGAGGCGCCCGCTCTGCTAGAGCTCAGCCCGACACGACCGCGTGGCCCGGGCTGATGGCGGCGGCGGCTCCTTCCGGGCAGAGTATGGCAGCAGCCTCGAGGACGACATCGTCTCGGACACCTCCTCCATGTTCCGGAGAGTCCTGGTCTCCCTGTCGACAGTAAGTAGCCCTAAGTCCCGCAGAAACGAAATGAGCCATAGGATCACCCGCCTCCGCAGGGGAGGCGGTGGAATTTGGGGGTACGGGGGCGGGTCGCTTAAATCATCCCCCTGAAGCATGATGGCTTTGAATCCGAATCGGGACTGCTGGGTGCTCACATATGCAGTAAACGAGCCAAGATGGGCTCTGAGCTGTCCAGCAAATAAAACTCAAGATGTCTTTTGACAGGACCTCCGTAGTGCCGGCTGGGCTATCTGACCGTGCCCTGGAGAAGCCAGTCAGCAGCAGCTCCCTCCTTCACTCCCTCCTGAGCACGCCTCCTCGTGCGGCCTGTTTGCTGAGCTTCCCGAGACGGACTGCGCGGAGTCTAATGCTTGTGTCTCTCCCTTCAACAGGGCAACCGCGATGAGAGCCACCATGTGAATGAGGGCCAGGTTCAGCAGGACGCTCAGGTCTGTAGGCCTTTGTGCCACGCCAATGGATGCTCAGAACAAGACTTCCCAGGGGCGCTTGCAGAAGAGTCGGTCTGCCGATCCCAGGCTGCCTCTCCACCTGCAGCGCTTTAAATGATGCAGAACTTAGCTTTTGTTTCGAATCTGCTGGGTTCCATGTAGGTTAACGCGGACACAGGCTCCACTCCGGCCTGGTTTGGATCCAGCAGCTAGGGAAATGAGAGCCAGTGCCAGGCAGTGGCTAGAGCTGGGCTGGGGAGACTGCGTGGAGGCCCCCCTTGGCAACGGAGCGCACTGTGATGTTGGGTTTGTTGGTGTAACCTACTTCACAGGACTGTTGTGAAGATAAAATGGAGAGGAGGGCCCCATGCAATCCGTCCTTTCTAGCCACCGAGGGCTGAGCCTGGGCGTGCCCCCGCCCCGCTCTGCCACGCTTATCCTTCTGTCAAGGCCCCTTCAGAACTGATGCTTCTTACCTGTGCCCTTTATTTTAGGCCCTGTATGAAGCCGGGGAGAAGAGATGGGGGACGGACGAGGCCCAGTTCATGGGCATCCTGTGCACAAGGAACAGGCACCACCTACTAAGGGGTACGGCTGTGAACCTGCTGGGTGATTCTCACAAAAAGACGAAGCTCTGAGTGGGCTCTGTATGAATGCAAAGGACGGGCCCTTTCTCTACCTCTGTGCAAACTCCAAGACACAGAATTTCAGGTGTTTCTCTACCATATTGACAAGTAGGGAGTTTCCTCCTTAACCATGAGGATTAGGGGTATTCCAGCATTGCAGATGCTTCTTGTCCAAGCCAGGGCAAGGTGGCACGATTCCCGAGACTGACCTGCCCGGGCAGGCCTGCTTCTGGTGCCCTGTGCAGGGCAGTCCCGACATAATTTCTTTCTCCCATGGAGGAATGTGCATGAGAAGATATGCCAGGTTGCATTCTGCCATATCTCCCTCCATTCATGCCTGCAGAGCAAAAGAGAGAGAGCTTGTCTTGAACTAAACCTTCAGAACCTCATGGGTAAGCCTTGAATCATCTTAGTGGCTTCTTGGGACGGGGTCCATCCTTTCTTAGAATAATATTTGGGTTCCCCAACCAATTTATTGAATGTGGTCTGCTGTCACTTGAGTCAGTGATGCTTGTCATACATGCTGTGGGTTTTTACATCCTCACCCTTTTTAAGAACCCCGCAGAGACATGACAACAACAGTTTCTCCCATTGCTCTTGCTGGGAAACAAGTGCGTTTCTTGCTCAGTCCTTGCTTAGACCATGCATTTGAAAATCGTCAGCTGGCAAGCCTGTTCGTTTGCATTTTGAGAACTCTGCATCCGCCCAATTCAGGTGGCTATCATTTTTTCCAATTAAAAACTAGATGCAAACATTGGGCACACAGAAATTGCGCCACTGGTGCGGGGTGCAAGCAGATTCATAAGGAGAGTTTCAGAAAGTAATTGCCAAATTGGAGTCAACAAATACTCTGTGCCTGCTCAGAGTTGTGACCTGTGCGGCTTGCCCTGGAGGCGGCAAAGAACATTTTAAGGAAAGCTGACTGTGGCTGGTGTTCGTTCGAGGCAGAACCTTGGCTCACGACAAAAGTCTTTCTTCTCCTTCACAGTCTTTGATGAGTACAAGAGCATCAGTGGCAAGGACATTATGGAGAGCATTAAATCAGAGATGTCAGGAGATCTGGAGGATGCTTTGCTGGCCATAGGTGAGTCTCCTGCTGAACTGCAGAAGCACACCCTCTTGCGCTGGTCTTGCTGCCCCAAGAACCGCAGGGGGTGCCTCCGGCTCCAGAGCCGTGCAGTGAGCTTATGGCGGGGCGTCTGAAGTGCTTCTGCTCTCGCGAAAGCCAGCCGTGCCCTCAGGCCAGCGTCCAGGATCTTCCCCACCCCGTGGCTGCTTGTGCAGGAGGCACATCGTTTACCGCTGAGGCGTCTCGACTGAGCTGCGTGCGATGGCCCTCCACCTGCCGTCGGCCGTTCTGTTCTTCGGCTTTCCCGATTTTACGCATTTCTTTTGCAATGTAGCCTTCACTGGGACGATTGCAGTGTGATGCGTGATACCTAATACCGCATTCCTGGCTGGCCGGGCGCTGGAACCCAGCCTCCTGGGCCCGATGGGAGCCTTGACCTAGGGACGGGTGGAGGCCAAGGACCCTGCCTTGTGGCCACGTGGTGCAGAAAACGCCTGCTGGAGTAGCGCAGCCTCTCCCTGGTCTGCTGGGGAGAGCATATTCCTGGATCGGGCGCTGGCCCGGTCAGAGCTGTCCCCTCCCATTTAGCTAACCCTGGCTGTCTTTGTTTCCTCCTCACAGTAAAATGCATGAGAAGTAAGAGCGGCTACTTTGCTGAAAGACTGTACAAATCCATGAAGGTAAAAAGATGGCGCTGTCGGCTTTCCTTTTTTAAAAAATGCATGCCCATGCTCACACTTTCAAATATCCTGCTCTTGACATTTCTAAATTAAGCCAGGGAGGCCTGAGGGGGCTGAGGGGGGCCCTGGAGCGCCCCCAGATTTTCCCTGGCTCTGGTCCTCCATGTCACACTCTCGTCTGTTCTTTGACTGACCCTCCTTTGCCACTGCACACCTGCAGCGCCCTGGAGGAGCGGTGGGCTTTTAAGGACACGCTGGCAATTCTCTGCTCTGATTGCATTCTCAACCCAGCACATGACAAATCAATGCCAAGGTGCTAATGGCTTCCCGCACGCACCAGCCTGCCGTCACGCAGTATCGAGGCAGACACACCTGAGGCAGGAAGCTGCCCGCCAGTTCTTTTAACAGCAACTCAGTCCCATCAGCATTTACATCACGGCACCCTTGAAGAGGAGATTCCCTGCACATGCTAAGTCACATGCTCAGCGTTTCCTGGGAGGGTGCAAGCTCAGTGGCAGAGGGCACAGGTGAGGGCCAGGGTCGGCGCTCGGCCCCATCTGGTTGAAAAGAGCGGAGGACAAGCGATGGGACGAGCCGCCGGGGAACTGTGGAGAGGTTTGCGAGGGCCTGCTGGGCTACACAGGCCGTAGCCAAGCTGCTCCCTCTGCGTAAGGGAAAAGGGCCACAGCCACCTGGACAGAGTAGGACAGAACCAAGCTCAATCTCCCCCATCGCCATATGGGGCTAGAAGAACTTCCACCCAAGCCCTGGAGGCCCTGCCTTGTTCGCCTCCGCAACGAAGAGGATGCGGGGCTGGCCTCTGTGTACAGCAAGCCCGGCTTGAAGGCTGCAGTGTGGAAATAGTTTTGTCATGAGTTTTCTCCCTGCTCCGCCATATGCCCAGGGCTTCGGGACAGATGACGCCACACTGATTCGAATCATGGTGTCACGCTGTGAAATCGACATGATCGATATTAAGGCAGAGTTCAAGCGGATGTATGGAAAATCCCTCTATTCCTTCATCAAGGTGAGCTGAATAGATGGCACTTTGTCTTGGCTTTCTTGTGGGACTTGAGCACAAAGTTGCTTGCGGCCACAGGTCTGCGGGGTAGAAGTGGGTTCGGCAGCCCATTTAGGGCCGGGGCTTGGGCTGGGCCAGGCCCAAAGAATTCCGAGGTCAACGCTGCTATGAGCAGCTTTCTAACCACACGAGGCAGGACTGAACCCGGCCTTCCTGAGCAAAGTTGGAAGCTTCACCGGTGTTCTTTCTTCTTCAGGGCGACACCTCCGGGGACTACAGGAAGGTTCTCCTGGTGTTGTGTGGTGGCGAAGACTAACAGCCAGCAGGCCCCTTCCCTGGCTGTCTCACTAGGCAGGGCTTCTGGCCCCCCCGAGAGCAATATCCAAATATCTGCAGCCTGCCACAGCAATGCTTTTCTTGAAATGCCAGCTTTGCATCATGCTAACACTGGTTTTGCCTGCTGGAATATATATATATATTCAAATAGGCTTGGGGAGTATTTTTCCCTGCTTGGTAGCATGTAGCTAATATGCTGTAGAGGATGAATGGCAGAAATCTGTATTTTCTCTATCCTGGCTTCAGTCAGTCCCGTAAAATGTTTTTGTGTCACAAACTGAAGGGCTTTACCTCTCCTAGTTGGTTACTTTTCAGTCTTGATGAGTTTTCACAGAGTGTCCTTTACTGCAGGACCTTGCGTAAAGCCCGCAAATGCTTTGTGTTGGGCGACATGCCAAGTGCCTGAAATGCTACATCAGAGTGCCTTTAGAGTACTGGTTTAACCCTCAACCTTAATGGAGTTGTTCTATGTTGTATTTTGTAAACACAGAGACACAGTTCCTTCACCCAGATCCCTACATAAAATCCAGCCCTAGGGGCAAAAGAGTAAGACAGTTAACCGAGGCTCCAATCCTGCACATGCAACAGGGAGTAAGCCCCGCAGAAGACTGGAGCACTTACTTCTGAGTTGACCTAGGGTTGCTACTTACCTACTTCTCGGAGAGAATACTAGCTTAGTACATCTAGATTTACCTAGCCTTAACTTGTGCTTCAGGTGCATTAATGGGTTGGTACTAATACCCATTTATGAATGATTTCAGTTCAACCTGGACATCCTTCCATTCAAATCGTAGGCTACGCATTTTAGAATTCCTCCTCTCCGTGATGCGAGGAATTTGCACACTGAACGGCTTCCTTGGAGTTGCAAACGGGCCCATTCTGGGCCTTACAGGCGCAGCTGGGCCCTGAACAAGTGCCTTGCCAGCGGGCCTCCTTAGCAAAGAGGCTGTTTCTCACAATTGCCCTCTAAAGCTGCTGCTGGCCATCAGGGGAAAAGGCGCAGGCACAGACCGTGCCCCATTAGAAGCAAAGGTCGGACAGCCCCGCACGGGCAGTTGAGTTTCCCAACTGGTTAGGCAGAACCACGAAGGAACACAGAATCACAGCAAAAGTCAGGGATGCAAACGAAGGCCAGTCACCTGGTCCAACAGGTGTGAATCAGTGCTCTGCTCCTCCCGGAATTTAACATGCGCATGCTTTGCACGTCAATAAAGGGAAGGGCTACTGCTCTGTGCTTAATTGTCAGTCTCTTTCTGTAACATGTTACTACAAGGACGAAAGACAACTGCGGCAGCCACCAGTTGGCCCTGCAGGTGCCTGGGATGGCTGGCAGGCTGGAGCAGGTGACATCTCCACCCATAAAGAGCTCAGCCCGGTTCCCACTCAGAGGATCCCCCTTGCAAGGGAAATGCGGCAACCAAGGATAAGGAGCCAGGGGTTGCCAAAGGAACCCCTGCATGCCTCCAGCTGCAGCTGCTGCTTTGGAATCTCAGAATCCTGGAAGAGTAGAGCTGGGGAGGCCGTGAAGGCTGCTGCGGAATGCCATGCAGCAGCACCCCACCCCACACAGACGGCCTCGTGCCGTTTCTGCGGCTTTGTCAAAGCCTTCCTGCTCAGCATGGCCTCCGCGGGCATCTGCCCGTGCCCTCGAGGCCACTTCCTTCTGCTGCCCCCTCCTCGGGCTCAGGGGTGGGTCTCCGTCTGGCCCTCCCAGGGTCTAACAGCACCATGCCCCCTTCCCTAACTACCCCTCCCTCGCTGATTTCCTGGCCTCGGTGCAAGTCCACTGTCCCATTCGGAGGCCGAAATGCGTGTGGGCTGCGGAGGACTCCCTGCTGCTGCTCGAACAGCAACGCAGAAGCCACTGTTGTTGCCACAGCCCCGAATCGGTGCAAGGGAAAAGCAACGAGGGAGTGAGGACCAGGAGATGTGAGACGGGAATCAGCCCGGGCGAAAATGGTTCTGTGTGGAAATGGCCATGGATTTTCTTGCACAGAGCTGATTTTCACCCCTGCGATTCACTGGGGCACCGCCACAGTGGGGGCAGCCGCTCAGGAACCAGGCTGGCAAGCTGCCGGGCCCCGCCTGTGCCACGCCAAGGAGAGCAAAGATTTCCGGCAAAACCCACACGCCGCCTACAGCTTTCCAAGGGCAGTAGCCCTCCTGGGATGAGCGAGCTCCTAGCAGCCTCTTCCGCTCTCACAAGACACCTCTGGCTTTGGACGGTCAAGAACTAAATAAACCACCAGAGGGCAAGCTGTCTCTTGAAAATCGTATTTTTCTCTGATACATAGAGATACAAGAGAGCCCGGCCATGAGCAGCACTGGGCAAGCCATGCAGCCGCTGAGCGCTAGTCCATGGCTTCCTCCTCCTGGCCGGGAAGGCGGCTTTCTCCCCTCGCAGGCGGCTCCGGCACGTGCGGGTCGAACGTCCACTTGGGAAAGACCCGCTTGTAGAGGGTCATCAGAACCGTGTCCTGGGACTTCAGCTGCCCATCAAACTGGCATTTCATGTGGCCGTGAGTGCCTGGCGGTGAAGCAGAGACGGGGAGTTTGGGACCGGAGCGCACGGCGAGGGGAGGCCCAGCGCCTGCTTGCCCGTGGCCACTTACCCAGGGGCTCCTTGATGTGCCCCCGCCGGCCCCACTTGCTCCGCAGCTCCACGGGCCTGAACCACAGCACGTCCTCTGCAGGATGAGAACGAGGAAAGCCCGCGCGTGGCTTGCAGGATCCGGAAGGGGGCTCCCAGGCCCCAGGCGGGCAGAGGCTGCTCCGGCCACTGCCCCGATGAGAGGGTTCACCGTGGCAGGATGCCGGCGCCCCCAGAGTGCCTCCCCCCGCCCCATACCTCTGCTGAAGAACATGTAGCGCACGACCGCCGTCTTGCGGTGGATCTTGAAGGGGTGGCCGCTCAGCACCACCCGCTTGATGACGATCCGGCTGGGGTCGACGCTGAGCAGTGAGCCCGTGGCCACGAGGCTGTGCGCTCCTGCATGCAGGGGATCACGGGGCGTCCTGCGTCACACTGGGTGGGCCACAGGGCTCGGCTCCCCGCCCCACACGGGCATGGCAAAGGTGAGGCTTGGGCCACCCCTCCGAGGGAATTGCCCCGAGTGGCAAGGGCAGCCGGGTAATCGGCTGCAAGGAGCAGCAGGGGCTGAAAGGCATGTGGAATGGAGGCCAGGCAAGCGACGTGCTCCGGGTGCGGCAGCCACACGGCGCTCCGGGCGGCCTCGACACGCTCCTGCACTGCCCCCCGCAAGTGCCGAGCGGGCCGGGGGGGGCAGCCCGGGAGACCACCTGGAGGCTCCCTGAGGAGGGGCTGTGGCACTCACGCCTGCCCCCTTGTCCTCGCTCGCTTCCTCGTTCCAGGGGAGCCGGAAGGGGTGGGAGTGGCGAGCAGAGAGGCTGTTCCCAGCAGCCCCCTGCCCGGGCCTTCTGCTGTGGATGATGGCGGTGGGGTGCGGCCCCCAGGGGCCCCTCCCGGCCCTGGACTCACCACTGCTCTTCTGCTGGAACAGCAGCACGGACACAGGTGGGAAGGTGATGGGCGCATAGACCGTGGCCACAGTGGCGGTGTCGGCCTGGAGGAACTGCTCCAGCTTGTGCTTGTTCCCTGCCGGTGGGGAGAGGCCTGTTGACCCACGCCGCCCCCGCCACCCGCCGGACAGACTATCCCACACGCTCGGCCGCCAGCCGTGGCTCCCACAGGTTAGAGGAAGCTCCCATGCTCAGCTGCGTAGCTCTGAATGGCAGCAGCTTTCCACAGAGTTGAGCCAGCGGACCATCAGAACTGGGGAGGAGAGAGAATCCCGTCGGGATCCTCCGCCCCACAGGGAAACCCCTCTGAAGCAGCTGACCCCCTAAGTCAGTCCACGGATGCCACTCCTCCCTGGTTCTCTCCCCAGAGGCATCCGGAGCGAGCTGCCCTGTTCTGGGGCCTTGGGCAGGGCCCCTTCCTAGCCCTGCGGGATGCGGGGCACTGCACAGCCCCCCCACCGCACCCATCCGGGGCTGCCAGCAGGGCTCGCCCACCTGAGCTGTGCTGCGAGTAGAGAGGAGAGGCTCGGAAGCGGCGGAAGCCACAGTGGATGGCCAGCTCCTCCCCGGACCGGATGGGCTCACTGTTGCCTGCGTGGCGTCTCACCAGGAGGTTCAGCACAGACATCTGCAGCCGCGAAGGGGAGAGGAGGACGGGAGCGTGAGGCGAGCCCGCCGCAGGCGCTGACCCCACACCGGTCACGAGGCCCTCGGCTGCCGAGCGCACACCCGGCAACGTCCCCACTGGCCGCCCAGCCCTGCCCTGCCCTGCCCTGCCCTGCCCTGCCGAGGCGGGCCGCGGGCCCCAACCAAGCAGGCTGCCCCAGACGCGCCTCCCAGAGACAGTCCTCCCCAGAGGCGGGGCGTTTGCCCAGCTGGCTGCCGTTCACCTTCTGCTCATGGGGAAGCAACGTGAAGAGCACCAGGGGCGTGCGCTGTCGCTGGAAGCTCTCCATGACGGAGACTGGGACACTGCAGATGTGAAGCGTGACGTAGCATCCGACCTGGGGAAAGGGAGGCGAGAGGATGGCAGAGGTCCTGGCAGCCTGGAGCCAAGTGGGGGGCAACAGCTGCCCTCGGCCAAGGGAGATGGCGGCGAGGCAGGCAGTACCGGGAGACACTCTGCCTTCAGGCTGCTGAGGGTCAGCCCTGGAAAATGGCTGCAGCGCTCAGAGGAAGGGAGGTCTGATCTCTCTCCTCAGACAAGTGCCCAAGCAACTCATCTCCGGGAACGAGATTTCCTCCCTGCTTTCCTAAGCCTCTGAAAGAAGGATCCCAACTGTGGAGTTACGCAAGCTGAGCGCATCAAGAACCAGTGCCGGTTGCATGCTCAGCGCCACCGGTCAAGCTCGTACAGCAAGCCCGAGATCCACGACCTGCACCCCTTGAGCCAGCGGGATTTCGCAAGTACAGCACAGCTGCCTTCCGCCTCTTGCCAAGCTGGACCACCAGCCCATCCAGCTCAAGAGGGGCTGCAGTCAGGCCCGCTCTTTTGGCACCTTCCAGTTCCCATCCGCCCCAGCATGGCAATGGCCTGAAATACTGGAGTTTGTAGTTCAAAATATGTGGAAGGCACCAGCTCGGGGGAAGCTGCTGGGAAACGGCTGGCCTCGTGCCTGCAGCATCGTTTCCCCAACTCTGCAGTGCAAGGCGGTCGTGAAAGGCCCTGCGACGGGCCCTGCTCCCCCAGAGGTCACGCCCGGCCCCCACGTGGCGTCGAAGGTTTCAGCAGGCCCCGCCCGGCATTTTCAGGCCTCTCTCTGAGCTGTAAGACCAGCAAGGGGCTTGCCAGGAAGCCGGGCCGCCAGGCAGCAGGACCTGGCCCAAATTCTGTGCTTTCTGCATTCACAGAACTGGGATTCATGCAGCCCTGCTCAAAGGCCTGGACAGGAAGGAATTTGCTCCTCTCCGATCAGCAGGTGAGCTCTTGGCCTTCCATTGCCCCACAGACCAGCTAAGAGTCCCACAGAGGTCTCTTCCCACACACCCAGTGGCCCCCGCTCACTCCTGTTTGCCCGGTAGTTGCTTAGGAGAAGCCGGGTGCGCACACCTCCATCTCCGTGGGTCCCCCGACAAATCAAGCCTGGAAAAAGGGCCCACCTCGGCTCCGTCACTCTCCTCTTGCTCCAGCTGCCGGAAGACATGCTTCCTTGTCCGGGAGAAGTCCTGGAACTGGAAGATCCGGGCATAGTCCCGGGGCAGGTTCTCCTGGGGATCCCAGGGAGACGTCCGGAAGCTTTTCAGACCCCTGTACTTCTGGAACCTGAGGGCCAGAGGGGGGTCGAGCTCTCAAGCTCCCATCTCGGTGCCCTGCCCTCACCCACACTGCTCCCAGGCCCGGGGCCCAGCTGTGGCAGCAGGCAAGGGGCAGTCCAGCCAAGGAGGCTCCCTGGAGCAGCACCAAGCTCAGCCTCGCTCCAGCCGCTGGGCCGGCAGGGCAGAACATGGTGAGCCGGGGGCACCGCTGCGCCCTGCCAGCCAGCCCTGGCTCCCCGGCCAGCACGCAGCGGGCCTTTACCGGGTCCGGGCCGGCACATCCCGGGGCGTGTCCACCTCATCCGGAAACATCTCCTGCTGCCGCTCCTGCCTGTACTTCTCCAGCATGGCCTCGTCTTCCATCCTCTCATCCTCCTGCTCAGTTTCCGAAAGTGGCACAGCCTCCTCCTCCTCCTCCTCCTCCTCCTCGGCCATGTCCTCTGCACTGCTGCCCCCATCCTAGCACACAGAAGTGTTCTGAATAACGGAGAGCGGGGGACAGCTGGAAGGGATGGCGAAGAGCCCCCCCTGCAGAAAACCCCCGCCATTGCTGCAAGAACACACCCCATCCCGAGATCCCGCACGTGCTCGACGTGGAGAAAGGCGAGAAGGCGGCCCCCTTGCACTCTTGTCCTGCCCCCAGGCCACGCACTGGAGGCCATGCTTGTGCCACCAGCAGGCTTGTGGGAGGCTGGGGGCCAGCCCTGCCTGGCTGACCAGCCGACCAGCCAGCCAGCCCGCCCGCCCACCCAGCCCACATTTGAGGGCCCTGGTGTATCGCCCCCCTTTCCTTCCCCACAGCCTTTCACGGACCGCCACCGCGCTTGTCTCCCGCCTGCAACTCCCGTGTCCCCACCTGCCCTCATCCACTGCACTGACGCCTGGAGAGGAGGCCAGCCGCGCACCGACCAGCAACGGCGGCCTGCCACGTCCCGCACAGCAGCCCTCTGCACCTTCGCCCCCCCATGTACTTGAGACGGCAGCTGCCAGCATTCCTGATCACTGGGGAGGCTGGCAGGGGCTGATGGGAGCTGAAGTTCCCCAGCTCTGCAAGGTGCCAGGCTGAGGGAAGGCTATTATCCAGCCTGTGAGCAAGCTACCGAGAAAAGAGCGCAGGTTCCGTTACCTGGGAAGCGGCACCTTCGAAAGAATCCTCCTCTTCCTCCTCCTCCTCGCTGCCAGTTCCCTGCTCTTCTTCGTCCAGGATCCAGGCGGCCTGGTAGGCAGACGTGCCTTTGGGGACCCTCTTGGCCACCTTCTGGCGCTGCTCAAGGGACTCTGCAAGCACGTGTGTTGGGGAAGGTTACTGAGCACCCAGAGGGCCCTTCCACCCACACAGGGCAGCTTCCCCAGGAACTGGAGCCAAGCAACGGCAGGCACAGAGCCGGCGCAGTGCAGTTCAACTGAGGCTGTCAAACAGACGTTCTGGCACCCCAAAGCTATGAAATGAAGGGTGGCCAATTTGGCAGCACTTATAAGAAAGGGATAAAAAATCTCTCCGACTTATTTTGGATGTTGATATGCCACCAGTTCACCAGCTGGACAGGCACATGGTGGGCATGTCATGAGAGCCGGCTGGAGCCAGAGGTCAGACTAGATGGCCCGGGAGACCCCTTCTGACTTGCACTGTTTTCTATGTTTCTATATAAATTTAAACTATATCTATTATATTTTAATAAATTAGGTCCATAAACAAAAACAACTATAATAACAAGAACTGTGTTGCACTTTCACAGAAAAATCAGAGGCAGTAAAAGAAAGCCCTGGCTTGACCAGCTTAACCAGCCTGGGCAGGCAGGCAAGCAGGCAATCCGGGCAGGGGAGAGAAGGGGCGGGACGTCCCGCCTCTGCGCCATTTCAGACTGACCCTCTGCCTCTCTCAGCTCCTCCTCAGTGGGCCAGGTCTGCTCTCCATCCATGGGATCAGGGACGGCTTCTGACTGCAAGGACTCCTGCTTGCTGGGATTGGCCGTGCTGAGCACCTTCCCATCTTCCTCCATCTCCTCCGCTGCACAGACAAGGGCACCCTGCGGGAAGACACCGTGCAGCAGTGCTGCCTAGGCCAGCGGGAGCCCCCTCCCCACAGCAGGCGCTGCCCGTGGCATCTCTCCTCCGAGCCCTCAGAGGCCACGGAGGGGACAGAACTCACCTGCACCTCCACGCTCCTTTCCTGCCCTTTCGTGACTCGGGGGCTCAGCACAAAGGGCTCTCGGGGGGCATCCACTTGACTCATCTGAAAATCCCCATGTCCCACAATGTGCACCAAACTGTTCACATTCAGCTGCCGGCCCCTCACGTAGCCGGACACCTTCAGGGTCCCTACGGAGGCGTTTTCCGCACTAGGCACAAACTCGGCCGCATCGGCCAGCAGGTGGGCCCGCCGGTCTCGGAAGGCCAGGTGCCGCTGCTTCTGGCTGGCCAGGTGGTGCAGCAGCAGTGCGGACTCCTGTGGGGTGTTGAGAGGGAACAGCCGGGCCTCGGGGAACCTCTTCACAAGGGCTTTGCTCAGCTTTTTCCGGCAGTCAGCTTGCTTCTGCGGGGGCTGGTCAGCGGGGCCTCGAACAGCGAGGCCTACATGTGGCAAGGAAACAGACAGCTGAGCGTGGCTGGGGCCAAGGGTCCCACACAGCAGAAAAGCAGCAGAAAAGCACGCAGGCAGGCAGGCAGGGTGAAAGCACAGGATGCCGCCGGGCCACAATGGCCTTGGGACTCCGACTGGAAGCTCACAGCCTTGCCTGCACCGTCCCCGGCATGAGATGACCCATGTTTTGCCTATTCCTGGCCATCAGGGAGTTGGTTCTGCAGGCATCCGCCCAGCTCCAGAGACTGGCCCTAGCCCTGTTCCTGGCCGTGAGGCAGCACATGGTTTTGCTCCGAGGAATTCAGCGAAGCGCCAGCTTCCCCATCGGCACAGCTGCATTTCGTGCCACACTCACCGTAGCTAGGGAGCCCCTGTGCAAAGATGCAGGAGAGGCAGTTGTCGCCCACAGCATCCCAGCCTTCGAGGGGATCGAGTACGAAAAGGAGCGTATCGGCGACCTTGGCAAGATCCAGTACAGCGTGGAGGTTCCCTGGATGAAGAGAGTCGGCCAGCTGAGGAGGGGGCCTGCCCTCCCGCGAGACTGTTGCTGCTACACGAAGTGAGCCTCACCTGCATCAGCCACCGCAAAACGCCACCGCAGCTTGGACGAGGGGCTCAGCAAGGTGAACCCCTGTGGGCCCATCTCAGTCGGAAAGACAGCAGAGACCTTGTCACTCCGCAAGAGGCTCAGGGCACCCTGGACAGCAACGTGCGCATGCAGGGGAACCACCACCACCAAGTGCGGTGGCCCATCCTTGCGCCCCAGGCTCCTCTTCTCTTCCAGGACCTGTGACCGCAGAGAGCAGCGGTGAGTCCTTTCCCCTGCTGAGCGACAGCAGGCAAGGCTGGCCCCGTTGCCCGGCCTCACACAGACTCACCACACCCCTGTGCTGCCTGCGGAGCTGCCAGGCCCGGTGTTTGCGGTCCAACTTGGCCAAGCTGCGGTGCTGCTGGCGGCTGAGAGTCTTGACAGGGATCCGGCCTGGGGAAGAAAACGGTGCTTGATGTGCACCCTGCTAGACGCATGTGGCACAACCAGTGGATTTCAATCACAGAATAACACAGAAAAATGCTTCTTTCACTCTGAAGTAGACTATGGAGACAGAAAACTTGGGAGGAGGCAAGTTTTAACCCCATATAACCCCAGTTCTCCGTCAGCTTCACTGGCTCCCCACTCAAGTCCGGGCCCAATTCAAGGAGGTTATCACCTATAAAGCCCTCAACGGCTTGGGCCCTGGTTATCTAAAGGAGCGCCTGCGTCCATATATGCCCTCCCGCCTCGAGATCGGCGGGGAAGGCCCTTTTCCGGGAGCCCTCTGTGAAGGACATTAGGAGGATGAGTACCCGGAGGAGGGCCTTCTCTGCGGTGGCGCCCCACCTATGGAATGCGCTCCCCAGAGAGGTCCGCCTGGCACCGTCATTATTTGTTTTTCGGCGCCAGGCCAAGACCTTTTCATTTAAAAGTTATTTTAATTGTTAATTTATGGACTGTACTTATTGGGTTTTTATGTACGTGCTGAGATGTTTCTGGGTTTTTTAAGTCTAATTATATAACTGTTTATTTATGTTTATTTATTAATGTTGTAAGCCGCCCCGAGGCTTTTTGCAAATGGGGCGGCATAGAAATGGTTTAAATAAATAAGGAAGGAAGGAAGGGGGAGGCAAGGACGAGCAATGGCTACTGGACTATTTCCACATGCAGAGGCACTTTGCATCTCTATCCCAGGTTCTGGAGAGCACCACTGGGCAGGTACTTTTGCACTGACTTGAACATGGGAACAGCTGGTTGAAAATAGGAACAGAATGCTGGATTATAAGGACCAGCCTTCCCCAGCCTGGAGGCCTTCAGGGCATTTGGACTGCAACTCCCAGAATTCCTATCCAGCAGGGCCACTGACCTGGTCTTCCAAATGTGTCTGCAAGGCACAAGGTGGTGGAAAGCCGATATGGACCCTTGGTCTGATGCAGCACATCCTTGCTTATACCCTTATTTACACAGTTTTATGATGCTTTTGAAGTGCAATCCTGAGCCTTCCCATCCAGAAACAAATTCCATGAAATTCAATGGGGCTTACTCCCAACTAAGTGCAGACAGAACAACTGCTCTTGCCTGCAATGTCCATGTTTTAAATGTGGGCTCAAGCCAAGGTTCCTTCTCCTCCGTCATCTAATTTCCAGCCACAACCAGTTAGGTGGCTCTGGGAAGCTCAGAAGGCATGAAAACAATGCCTCCGCTCTTCCCTGCCCTACAGGGCCTTTGCACACACATGCCCTGTGCAACAAATTACCATCATCACAGAATTACCTGTTATTAGATATTTTTTGCAATAAAAATGTTTACCACTAAATGCTATTATTACGTCAAACACCATCATTAATCCCCAGCGGTTTGCCACGTCCTCCACGAGTTGCTCTGCTCTCTACATCTACTCTTGCCTTCCCCAGGCTAGGCCACACTTGCTCATTGGGAGTAAAACTCCCAGCATCCCCCAGCCATGCTAGCCGGGGGATGCTGGGAGCTGTAATCCCAATCAAGAGAGACCACCGGTTTACTATAAAAGCCACACCAGAGAAAAAGGATGAATCGGGGAGGGAAAGAAAAAGTCAGAGAGCCTCAATTTGAATAGATCTGCATAACATGCCCAGCATGCAGCGCGACCGGCCTCGCCTCACCGCCCTGCCTCCGCGCGTTGCTCCCGCCGTGCTTTCCGGCCTTGTGCGGCTTGTTCTGCTGCTTTAGGGCCCCGGGCCGATGGGCGCCCGCCGCCCGTTTCGCCATGGCTCCGCACTGCACCGACCCACGCTTGGCCCTCCTTCCGTTTCCGGCCGCCGCGCCGGAAGTGACGCGCCCGGCTTGCCCAGCGGGCGGGGCGAAGGAAAGGAACGCCTCCGGACGAGGGGAGAGGCAATAGGGATTTACCTCAGAGGCTCTTGGGCGCCGGGCAGCGCGTGCCTCTTTCCCTTTCCGCCTCTAGGGTCCTTCGCTCGGGCGTGCGTCTCCCTTGCGGAGGCGCCTGCGCCTGCGCGTTGAGTCGCCCCAGGCCGCGCCTGCGCAGTGAGCCACTGGTCCATGGCGGCAGCCGTTGGGCTCCGCTGACTCCGCGGCGGCTCGCGGCCCCCCTCGCGCCCCCATGAGGAGGCGGCGGCGGCGGCGGCCGAGCGGCCATGGGCTTGCTGAGCAGCCGGGCGTGGGGCACGCGGGCGGCGGCGGAGCGGGCGGCGGCGGAGGGGGCGGCGGGGCCCAGGCGCGGCGGGCCCGAGAAGCGGAAGCGCGGCGGGCCGGGCGAGGGCCTGGGCGACAGCGAGAGCGACGGCGAGAGCGAGCGCGAGGAGCGGCTGCTCAGCACGCCCCGCAGGTGAGGCGCCCGGCCCTGCGTTCCTGTGGGCTCCGGGCTCGTGCGGGAAGCAGGGCCGCGAGGCACCGCCGCCCCGGGGCAGCGGCAGCGGCGGCAGCTCCAGGGACTTCGGCCAGCCTGGGAGCCCCCCGGTGCCGGGGGCTCGGCCTCCTTCGGCCCCGGCCGGAGAGCCCGATCGCGGTGGGCTGCAGCCCTCATGCGCAGGGCCGGATGGCTCTCCCCGGGGGCTTCCTGTGGAGAGCTCGGGTCGTGTCGGCTGGTCTGAACCCGGCTTGTGGGCGCTTCCAGGTTGGCCTGTTAGCTTCCATCCCCGGGCCCTGCACCTTTTCCTTGGGCCCAGCTCGGAAAGTGGGAGAGCGCTTACTTTCATTGTGCAACAGGTTGGGGAAAGGGCTTTTTTCCAGGGGGATGCAGGCTGCAACACAGAAATATAGAAAAGCAAGTCAGAAGGCGCCTCCCTGGCCATCTAATCTGACCCCTGGCTCCAGCCAGTTCTGCTCATGTAGTCTCCAAAATAACTCGTTTCATTACTCCAGCACTGCCAGCCATGGGGCAGAGAAAGGGCAGCTTGGAGATGAGTCTTTTCTCTTAGTTCTGCTACCAGTGCTGGGATGGAGCTCTCTTCCTGCTTTAGCTGTTCTGCATGAAGTAAGGCCTGGGAAAGGGGGCTGTTTGAAAAGGGGGTGGTGATACTGGTGGTGGCATACCCATTGCTAATTCATCTCCTGGCATCTTAGTCTGAATTTGAGTTGACCATTGGGCTGGTTTAGTCTCATAAAGAAGCATGTAGCTGATGTAACTCTGGTCTTCCTTAAATAAAGTGGAGTGGAAAGTCAACTTTGAACTTGTGGAAGCCTGGCAAGAGTGGAGGTAAAAGCAGTGATGAAGTTCAACAAGATGCTTGCCACAAAGAGTAATACATCCAACCCATTGTCAAGATGCTATACTTAATATTGTGTGGCAGAATTCAACACTTGGGTTTGCTTTTTTTTTTTTTTAAACCAGGAAAAAACTAAAGAGTACTTCCAAGTATATTTATCAGACTCTGTTTCTGAATGGTGAAAACAGCGATATTAAGATTTGTGCTCTGGGAGAAGAATGGAGCTTACACAAGATATATTTATGCCAGGTAAGAACAAACTATTTTTTCTGGTGAATCTTAGACATTTTTGAGCATGTATTCATATACAGAGTGGGAGTAAGTGGACTTCAGACTTGTGCCATCTATTTAGCGATCCTGCTGAATATATTTATTTAAAACTAAATCATTCTGAGTCAAGGAACTTGGTTTGAGTACCAAAAACCGAGTAAGATTTGCAGTCTTTTCACACAGAAATCTTATTCTGGTTACTTCAAGTTTTCTTCATTTCAACAGTATAATTTAGCACATTGTTTTTTGCTGCTACGGTTAAATAATCCTTACTAATCTACTAAAAATTGCTAGCAGTGATATGATGGATTATAGTGTTGGGCTGGCAGATCAAGGAAATCCATCTTCTGGTCCCTACTAGACCATGAAGCTCATTGGAGACTTTGGGCCAGTCATTCTCAGCCCAACTGGCCCTACAGAGCTACTGTTGTGAGAATAAAATGGAACTAGCTAAGCTCCCTCACATTTACAGAAGAAGGAAAAAAGCAGGCTATAAATATAATAGTAAATGCAGTGCAATGTTAGTAGAGCAGTTCCACTTTCTGCCCTGATACGTCCCATGCTGTCGTGCCTGATGGCTCGACAGAGAGGTCGACTCGCGAGAAAGAGCCAAACGTTCACAGTGAGAGTCAGGCATTGGACTTATACTTGGGGACCAGTGCCCAAACGGCCCCTCTGCTGAGCAAATTTATTTATTTATTTGGAATTCTTATATGCTGCCCCCTTCACATATACCTCAGGGCAGCTTCCAACAGATAAATAAATACCAATACAAATACATGAAAACTGGAAACATCCTGGCATATATTATAAAATCAGCCATTAAAATAATATTTAAATAAAAAGGTCTTGATCTGGTGCCGAAAAGCAAATAACAACGGCGCCAGGCGGACCTCTCTGGGAAGCGCATTCCACAGATGGGGTGCCACCATAGAGAAGGCCCTCCTCTGGGTACTCACCCTCCTAATATCTTTCACGGAGGGCTCCCGGAGAAGGGCCTCTGCTGCCGATCTCGGGGGGCGGGAGGACAGATATAGATGCAGATGCTCCTTTAGATAGAGCCCCCCCCCCGGACTCTGAAGCTGCTGGGCAGAGTTCAGGAGAACAAGAAGACATAACAGTAAATCTAGCGAACGCCCAACTTAGGCGGAGTTTAAGGCGTCTGGATCAATTGCGTTTGGGCCAATTGCGACGACAGGACAGAGGGTGGTCCCACCCATAAACGGAGGGACGTGACAGAAGATAAAATCCCACATGAACTTCTCAGATAGTTCAGAAAGGAGGGGGCAACTGTGTTGCAAGGAGCTCACCTATTGGTTGCATGGTAACTCTTGTAGAAAGTAGCAATAAAAGTCTTTAGTTTTATGGCCGGCTGCTGGGTGAGTTAATTGGAGACGTGAGGTACGGCCTCATGGCACATGCCCTCCTTCAGCCTGTGGAGTGACTACAGGACTCTTTCTGCATGAATAAAAGTTGAGAACCTCATTGGCTGCATTCGGACCCTCCTGATTATTTGTCACTTGATCGCTAGCCTCTTCTTGCCAAGGGGCCATTCTCATGGCAATGGACTGCTCGAACATGTTTACCTGTGGGGTTCAGCACAGATCCTTCTGTCATAACCAAATGGCCTTTCAGTGCTAAGATGCTGTTTGAATCTAAAGCATGCTTGCCTCCAAGCTTTGAATTCAACCCCAGAGTGAATTCATTTTCTAGGCGGAGGGGAGGTGTGGCAGTGAAGTACCCCCAGATCTTCCCATGCAGGAAACAGGAACTCTTTGCTGACAGCCTGGCACTCGGGGGCACAAGCACCTTGATTCATAGCGTGAGTTCTCCATTTGCATAATGTCCGTGAGAAATTCACTGAGCACTGACCTAGCAAAAGGGTTGTATAAACAGGTGTCTTCCGTTCTTTCCTCCCCAGTGGTTGGGTGCTCTGTGCCGTGTGTGGGAGGGGAGTCTCCTCTAGTGCTGGGACAAGGGATCACAACATTCCGAAGAGCGTAGTGCACGTGTTTATTTCTCAGTCTCTGAGAGCTGGTGCACGGTTTGTGTGCTGGCGTGGGAGGTCTGCGTTCTAGTCCCCGCTCGCTGACTTGGGGCCAGTCACTCACTCTCATCTTAACCTAGCTCACAGAGTTGTTGAGAGGATAAAACAGAGCTATTTAAGCTGCCTTGGGTTCCTCACAGGGGAAGAAAGGTGGACTATAAATACCGTGTAGTAATAATAATGACTCTGCTGCAAGAGGAGACTCAGTGTGAAATATGTTGATAGTGAATGTGAACCAGGCATTATTGTGCAAATTAGCAAGCTGCAGTGGTCTGGCTGCTTAAGGGAACTAGACAGCGCTTTCAAGAAAAGGAGAGGGCAGGATCTTAATTTTTATTGGTGCTCATTCATCAGAACAGAGCTTGGGAATTCTTGTTTTGTGCTGAGCAGCTGAAGTGCTCTATGAGAAATAGCTCGCGCACGGTGAAGCCTGCCATAGGCAAAGAGTGAGTGTGAAGCGTGCCAGTCGGAGGACAGGTGTGACACAAATCACCATCTGCCTGCGATCATTATACACTCTTATTACAGCAGCAAAGAGGTGTACTTTAATGGTTGATCACTTATGCTTTGGGTTAAAGAAATTATAATTTATAAATAATAATCTGCAGTTGGATAATGGTGCAGGGAATGAACCACTGTACAAAGAGACTTTATTTTTTAATCTCTCAGGTAAACTTCACTGAGTGATAGCGTCTCATAAAGGGGTCCCCCTCCTGCTGTGATGGAAAGTTCTAGTAAAGCAGTATTTTTCACCTCATTGGATGGAAAACTAGCTATATCTAGTTTTATATGAATTACACTTTTTAAAAAAGGTATATCTAAATGGTGTGTGTGTGTGTATAATTTACCTACTCCTACCTGTATGTGTGCTTAGAGCAATGTATCTGTACCTGTAGTTACGAGACCACACTCGTAAATTTGTATGTCTTGCATGCACTGACTTCTCGAGTTTGCCTAGAATTCATTCCTGCAGGAGTTTTTGTCCAACTTTTAGCCAACATTATATATTCCAGATGCTCATTATTTTTTATTTACACTTAGTACTGCTTAGATGATTTCATTCCAGGTTCATGAACTGGTTGAAGAAGCCAGGAAGGGGCACCAACCCAGATGCACTTCCTTTACGCTGCCTTTCATGTATGCTTAATTCCTGATTTAAGCAAACCGCAGTATATCCATAATAAGCAACTGTGGTGCAGTGTTGATTTAGTAACTAGGATCTGCAACCACAATCTGATCTTGATTTCTTTAAAGAGGGCAATTTCCCATTTCATAAGCAACTTGACACAGCTTTATGTTAACCAGGATCAGAGTGCTGGAGCTGTGGGGAAGCAAGGAGTACCTAAGCTTGGTGCTAGGTCTCAACTTAAGAAACCATAGTTTATAGAGTCAAGATTGTTGTGCCCAAAACTGCCCTTTAGGGTTCACAAATACAGGGTACATGATAAACCTAAATTGGCTTCAAATCTAAGTTAACTATTTCCACACCAGAAGGAATTATGATATGTTTCTTCCTTATATAAGTAGCAGTGTTTTCCGCCATAGTCCCCTATGATGTGTAAGTATGTCAAAATTAGTTTGTACCTTGTTAGCATATTTAATAATTTAATTGTTTTGCTTTAAAAAGTAAATTAATTAAATGCATGCGCCTTCTTTTTGTAGTCTGGCTACTTTTCAAGTATGTTCAGTGGTTCCTGGAGGGAATCAGGGATGGATACAATAGAATTGGAAATTCCTGATCAGAATATTGATGTAGAAGGTAAGAAAAAGACCATTATTCGTACTTTCGTATCTGTACAGGTTATGTGTGTATATGCAATGCATGTGTGCTCATCTGTCCGGTCCTAAGACCTTCCTGAGTCAATTAAGTGACTAGTAGCTTGCTAAAATCTGGCTGCTCTACACCAGTAATGACAAATCCCCGTTTAGTTTCATAACAAGTTGTTCTAGGGTACTGTAGGCCTTATTGGACTGCTACCAAATCTCTCATCACAGCTGCTTGAGGTTTGATGATTTCTGCCCAAAGACTGTATTAATTGTAATAATTGGCAGCAAAGGGTCTGCCTGGAGGTGGCAGGCCTGGTCTGGGACCCTTTGCTTGCTGATTCAGTGCTCTGCTGGCGGCCTGGGGCCTTTCTACCCATCTGTGAGAGGAGATGCACTTTCCCTTACACAGCAGGACCTCGGCTCACAAACTTAATCCATCCCACGACTCTGGTTGTGGCCCAAATTGGTTGTGACCCAAGTCAAATTTCCCCATAAGGTTCAATGTAAATAAGGGTTAATCCGTTCTGTGACCAATTTTTTTTAAATCACAAAAATTTGAAACAAAGTGATGAAGAACAACAAAGATTGCGGCTGTCTCCCCCCCCCCCAGGCACAACCGCAGTCGTGCCCGTGCAGGGAAGACGGGTGCGATTGCGATTGTCACCCAATGCAGAGTGTGCGATCAGAGGCAAAATTTTTCTGAAATTTCTGTTTGTGACCTGAGGCGTTCATGAGCCGAGGTACCACTGTAATTAAGTTGCTGTGTTGTTTAAAACATTCAGAATTAAAATCTCCAGGAGGAAAAGTAGAAAGTGTGTGCAGTTTTTGTGTGAAGTGAAAACTAAGTTTGTTGGTGGGTTCACCTGACAGAGAACAGCTGAGAAAAGTCTTATTGTGTATATAACTTTTCCAACTCAGAATGAGTCTCTTTTGATGACAAACATTTAGAGTGCTTTGGTGGTATTGAAATGCAATACATAACATGAGTTGCTAAGCTATGGATATTTGTTTATCAAACTGTTAAAAGTAACCATGATGGCAGTTAATTCTGAGCATGGGCACCCCGGAGCCCAGCCCTCAAGTTCTGAGGTTTGGTTTGGTTTTCCCTTAGCTTTACAGGTGGCATTTGGTTCACTGTATCGAGATGAAGTGTTAATAAACCCAAATCGAGTCATTGCTCTCCTAGCTGCGGCCAGCATGCTCCAGCTGGTAAGTGCACATGGCTTTCTTCCGTGTTGTGCCCTTGCTCCACTGCCCTTCGGTCTGCGTGCTGGCAGTATGGTCACCGTTGCATTATCAAAGGGGACGCTATTTTAAAAGCCTCACGGCTGTCTTTTGAAATATCTACATCCTTTTCTGCCATTTTTCTACATTGAAGCACATAGAAAGGTGCATTCACGTGCTTGCACATATGTTCCCAGGTTCATTTCCTCTATGGGTAAGTCTAATATTTTTCAAACAAGTCACAATGACCTGTAGGTGGTACCTTAGCTCAATGTCTTGCCAGTCAGACTTCGGAGAGAGGATGGTGCACAGCATTTAGGCTTGTCTTTTACGATTTCTTCGATGTGTATTTACAGGATGGCTTAATACAGCAGTGTGGTGAGACAATGAAGGAAACAATTAATGTGAAAACTGTGTGCAGTTATTATAATTCTGCAGGAACGTATGGATTAGATTCTTTGAAGAAAAAGTAAGTATCCTCGTTTAGCATATGTACTGAAATAGCCTTTAGGGAGAAGACACTTTTAGGATTTGTGAGACTCCCCCACTGAAAACTGTGGGCATGAAAGCAGCTTTCTGCACCCTAGAACCCTGCAGATACGTTGGGCTGTTTCAATAGCATGAAGAACACCAGGAAGTCTGCGCAAATTTTAGCAGTCCAAACCGTTGTGCATGATATGCCAAGAACAATTCGCCTGTTCCAGAGCTGTTCAAGCTGTCTTTCCTGATGTTGTTGGACCACCTTCTGGTTTCACTGACATGGCTTATTAGTTCCCTTTCACACCGAGACACAGAAGTATCTTCTCACATGGCTGCTGGGGATAATCACCAGCAAAACATTACTTACAGCTCTGTAACTGCCAACATTGCCTAAGAACATCCGTGCAATTGCCATCCATCCACTTTTACTGAGGGACTTGTGGAACTGACCATTTGCTGCAGAAAACAGAACATTTGCTGGGAAATTTTCTGCCCTGTATCACTGGAAGGATGTCATGGGAGAGGTCCAAAGAGTCATCTGAAAGATACACTTCTTAATGTGGGATGTAAGGAGAAGGAGGTCCATTATGGGAGCGGGTGTTGTAGCGGCCTCGGCATGCATTGGAGTGTCATCAGCTTGATAGTGGGATGCGGAGAACCAAGAAGCTTTTAAAAACACCTGCGTTATATGCCGGATTGCTTGGATAAAATATGATTAGAGCATCTTTCTGAGCTCTGTGAAAATAGTTGTGTATTTTTAATCTAGGTCCCTTGAATGGCTCTTGAACAATCTGATGACACACCAGAGTGTGGAACTCTTCAAAGAACTCAGGTATAGAGATTTCGGCTACTCTGGGTTAACGGCAGTCCTGTGCAATAATCTTTACTTAACAGAACGCAAGGCAAGCACTTACGCTGGGCCATCGTCAGTTCATTGCACATGCCGTGTTTTTGTTTCAGCATAAACCTCATGAGGCAGCTGATCAGTTCTTCTAACCTCTTTGTCATGCAAGTGGAGATGGACGTGTACACTGCTCTCAAGAAGGTACTAGCTCAAGGCTTCCAAAGGGTTGACCTGCAAGGAGCCAGGCTTAATCAGCTCCTGGTATGATGCCTTTTTGCCCAAATGCATGCCTGTTCAGTCATAAACTCCCTCTGTTTCTTCTGTTTCCAGTTGAAAGTGCACATGTCTGTTTGCTGTAAAAGCTTGACATTTCCAATCAAGAATTTGTGCTTACAGCAGTTTGTTTGGTTTTGTTTTATGCAGTGGATGTTCCTTCAGCTTGTGCCTTCTTGGAACGGATCTCTGAAACAGCTCCTAAGTGAAGCCGATGCCTGGTTTTCTAAGCGCAAAAATGGTATTGGTGAAGCTCTGGGGTTCGTTCGTAAGCAACCTGAAAATGTAAAGTTCTTCCTGTAGGCACAATGCCCATTGATCAGTAAGCTGTCCCACATGGGCTTTGGTGCTTTCCTAGTTTACTTCTTGTTTTAGCCCATAATTCCCAAACTCAGTTTCAGCTTCTCATTTGTTTCTGAGTGGATGTGGCCATGAACCCTTAACGCTTAAGCATAAAGCATATTGGATGAACATACATTTCCCTTCAAATTGGAACAACTTTGAGATCAGTTAGCTATGCTTGCAGAATGCAAAGCCTTCTACTTACTGAACAATGCGTAGTTTGTGTAATATGTGTTACCACAGTGTTTCTGAACTGACGACGATTTACTGTGGCATTGCAGATTTTGAAGATGGCATCTCGTTCTTGGAATCTGAGCAAGGAAGTGCATTTCTGGCTGTGTTCAGACATCTCAGGCTGCAGTACATAGTCAGTGATCTTGCATCAGCAAGAATTGTAGAGAGAGATGGCCTGATACCCGCAGGTACGAATGAAGTGGCTTGCTGTCAAGGGCAGTGTTAGAGGGGGGTCGGGCCTCTGGTTGCAGGATTTAGGAGCTCTGCCATGCAGATGCGCAAGCTTGATTCCCCTTCGCTTGTCCCTGCTTCTGAGGAGCAGCAGTCTAGGCAGAATGCTGGCCCGGGATCTGGGAAGCTTGGGCTCTGATATCCTGCACCATGACTGTCCTCAGTGAAAGATGGCGTTGGTTGTAGTAAATTCTGTGTCTGGGTTTTGTGTGTGTGTTTGGAGCACAGCAATGTGCTTATTACCATAGAGCTTATGACTCCATTTAATTTAATTCTTAATAGGTCATTTGAAATTAGTCTAGTTTCAGTCAAAGACCAAACATTGGCTTGCCGATACAGTGTGTTTGCCTTCTATAAAATTTGGTGTTCCGAACATTCAATGATCTCTCCCACTCATCGTGTATCTGGTGCTGTCCGGGTGCCCAGAGGGCTGCTGCAGTGCAATGGTTAAGATTGTGGGCCTGGGACTCAGGAGACCTGGGTGCTAGTCGTCCGCCCTGCCTTCAGCCGTGGAGCCCACTGGGTGGCTTTGGGCCAGGCACAGGCTCTCGGCCAGACCTGTCTCCCCGGGTGGTGGTTGTGGGGATAAGACTGAGAGCAGGTGGTAGAGGAGAATTAAGAAAGCCGCCTAGAGTTTCTTGAAAGGAAAAAAGAATATACATATAATAAATAAGCAAAGGTTTGGGGTTTCAACTTTGCCACCATGGCCAACGATTGAAGATGGTGGTGTCCTGATCCAAAAAATCTAGACGGCATCAGGCTGGAGAAGACGGGGCTGTCCTTTTATCACCGTTGGAATCAGTCCCAGCTCTAGATCCGTGTCTTCCTCTTAAGCCTAATACTAGCCGTTGATGGTTTGTCCTAGTTCAGGTCTTTATGCAGCCTCTTTCTATTTGTTACTTGTCTGTAGAAAGCCAGTCCTGGGGCTTGGTGTCCAACCTCTTCTAGAGAGGCTGCCAGTCCTTTGAGGGATCAAGGGTTACGTTGTGGGTGCTTGTCTTATTCTGCCCAGCCCCTGGGTGGTGGCAGTGGCAACAGGTGTGTTTGCATGGCTGTGTTTGCTGCACCTTTCCTGAGTCTGACTTGACGGCAAGTGCCAGTGCTTGGTTGCATCCCGTTGGGACTGGAGCAGCGCACTCTCTGCAGAGCTACTTTGGAAGGGTATCTAAAAGCTTCAGTCACTACAGGCACGTGCTGCCCGGATCACGTTACAGTGGTTGTCACCTGCAGTGTTTGCTGGCTTTTAGGTCCTTGAACGGCTCAGGGCCTGGCCATTCAAAGGAGCACCTTTTCTTGCGTGAACCTGTCTGGTGATTGAGATCTGCGGAGAGGGTTTTCTGAGGCTGTCATTACCTGTGGGGGACATTTTGCCAGGTATGCGGGAAAGAGCCTTTTCTTGTGTCATTCCCACATACTGAAATACATTTTCTCAGGAATGGCAGTTGACTTCCCACAATAGATTCAAAGAAGTCATTGTCCTGTGCAGCCCTGATGGCTCTTTAGGAAATAGGAAGGCATAGGCATGCTAATGAAAACAAACCTGTCAGTTCAGTTGTATAATTTTGTGTGAAAACTTCTTGCCGGAGTGTTATGGCACACAACACATTTCATCTTTCCCCATTAAGTTTCTCCAAGTGCCGGACAGTTCCCTCTATTTAAGCTGTGGGTGGGTGTTCCTTCCCTGTTGCTTCTCAAACAGCGAGTCCTTTCTTTCTTTTCAGACAGTGTCATAGAAGTCACTAATGATCAGTATGTATGCATTAGAAATTAGAGGGTTTTACGTGCTGTGTAACATAGCCCATCTGCCAATTGAAGTCCAGGCCTAGTTTAAGATGCTGGTAATGACCTATAAGGCCCTAAACGGCTTGGGTCCTGGATAGCTGAAAGAGAGCCTTCTTTCCCATGTGCCTGCCCGCCCCTTGAGATCTGAGGCAGAGGCCCTTCTCCGGGAGCCCTCCTTGAAGGAAATTAGGAGGGTGGCTACCTGGAGAAGGGCCTTTTCAGTACAGGCGCCACGACTGTGGAACACACACCCCAGAGAGGTTTGCCCGGTGCCGTCGCTTTATTGTTTTTGGCACCAGGCGAAGACCTTCTTATTTTCCCATTATTTTAACAGTTAATTGGCTTGATCCTTGATTTTATCATCATTTACTGGATGCTGTGTGTTGTCTGTTGTATATGGTTGCTTTGCTTTTTTTGTTTTTTGTATGCCATCCAGAGGCTTTTAGTATTGGGGTGGGATATAAAAACTTTAAATAAATAAATCTGCAAGCTGCCCGTCTTGTTCTTTGTACATTCAGGCTGGCTGTCCTCGGTTTACAAGCAGCAGTGGTTTGCCATGCTCCGCGCAGAACAAGACAACGATATTGGGTGTGTATTGCATGCCCCCTCCCCTCTCAGGTGATCTTTACCTTTCCCTGGAAAAGCATCTCAGAATCCCTATGTGGGAAAGAAAGAAGGGAAGTGCAGGAGCCCCAGCCTTTAGGGACATTTGTACACACAGATTCAGGAATTTTGGCTTGATATACTCACCAGCCTGTGGTCCAACTTGTTTGTGTGTACACATAATTTTGGAGAAGGGAAGTGCTGAGAGGGGTACCTGCTACTCTTTTTCTGTTTCCTGGGAGTTGTACAGAGGACCAGACTTTTGGCTGAATGCTGCTGGGGCTTCCATTAACCAGCAGAAATGCCTTTTCTTTTTTCTCTTCGCTGGTGTAACTTCACACCAGTGCCTGGGCCAGGAACAAGCCCTGAGCCTGAAGGGCATTCTGGGGAACCTGGTTTTTTCCCTGCCACAGCATCACCTGGATTCAGTGTCCTCCCATGCACAGACCGTGTCCTGCACAGCGCGGCTCTGCTGGTTATCCTGCAGCAGCATAAGGAGAATGAGTTGGTGCTTCTGGGCTCGTTTGATTCAGCTGGCTGAGTAAAGAGCTGTCATCCTACTAGCAAGCAGAAGGTGTTGCCTGCCAGAGCATCATGCCACCTCCTTTTTTTGGATACCTGTGCACACTGTTTAACAAGTTGCTTTGCTTGCCCAGTCTTGACAAAATGCCATTTTGTATCAACGGCTTTTTGTATGTTGAAGGCCTCAAGAAATAAATAAGGAGGAACTTGAACTGAACAGTATGCGGTGTGGCAGAAAACTTGCCAAGGATGGTGATGTAAGCACAAATATTTAAGTACTTGTGACATCCTTTTGCAAATGTGTGACTTTTTCACTCTTTTCATAAGCTATATAGTAAAAAGTGAGGTATAAAAGTGTTTTCATGAGTAGATTAGGTCACTAAAAATATTGTGCGTTTGGGAAATGGGAGATGTCAGCCTGCCATTTAATTGCTAGTCGTGGAACATTTTTAAGCAATAACATTAAACTGAAACCATTGATCGCGTCCTTGCAATGTATTGTGTAAAAATAGTCCAGCATTGTTCTGCATGTACGATGTGGGGCCCAGTTACTGTCTGTATTTCTTCAAGTATTGCTGGCGATGGACAGGCTTCAACTTCGGCTTTGATCTGCTGGTCACATACACCAATCGCTACATCATCTTCAAACGGAACACTCTGAACCAGCCCTGCAGCGGCTCCGTCAGTCTGCAGCCCCGCAGGAGCATCGCGTTCAGGTCAGTCTTGCCGTGAGTCAGCCAGCATCGCCCTTTCACGACAGTTTTTCCCGTGGTCCCACCCTGGGGTCCCTCTCTTGATCCTGCTTTGCAGCTGCAGGAGAGATCAGCTGTGCTCACAACTTTTGCGGACCACAGGAGGCGAAGAAAGCACATGGGACAGGAGAGCCTCTCTTTGGAAGGGCAGGCCCGCCGGGATTTTCAGGGGAAAGGGGCAGGGGGTGTTGAATTGCCTCACTGCACGGGCACTGGCGCCGGTTCTACAGGCATGCTTCCCTGAGGCCACCACAATATTCTGGCAGCAGAGGAAGGGAGGCAGGGCTGGCTATTGGCCCAGAACTGGCCCCAGAAGGTGCAGGCTCCCAAAGGCCCCTTCCTTCCCCCAAGCAGGGTTAGGCTGGCCATCATAAACCAGTTTCCGAGCAAGGGGCTCCAAACCCACCTAGCACTCTACATCTTTAAAGAAACACTTGGCAAGAGGAGAAACCTGACTCTTTTCTGACTTCAGGTTGCGTCTGGTGTCCTTTGATGGGAATGGAAAGCTCATTTGTAGCAGGACTGCTGGATATCAGATCTTAACCCTTGAGAAAGACCAGGTATGTGTTTTGAAATGCCTTTGATGCATCTGAGATCTCAGTCCTTGAAAAGTGAGTGTTCTTCCTTTGAAAAGTTGGTTTCTTTTGTAAATACTGAAATGCATAAAAGCAGGGCAAAGGGTTGACTTTCACCCTGGATCTCATAAAATGATTTGGTCCAGTGCTGAAGGGCATTCACATACAGTGGGACCTCGGCTCACGAACTTAATCTGTTCCAGGACTCTGGTCGTGACCCAAATTGGTCGTGAGCCAAGTTAAAATTCCCCATAAGGTTCAGTGTAATTAAGGTTAATCCATTCTGTAACTATATTTTTAAACCAGAAAAATGTCAAGCAGAGTGACAAAGAACAACAGAGATCGCGGCCATCTCCCCGCCCCTCCGCCTGACCACGATCTGCCCATCATCCCTGCACGCGCCCATCATCCTGGCGTGCTGGTGGGGGAGAGACGGGCACAATCATGCGGGGGTGGGAGATGGCCGAGATTGTGGTTGTGCTCCTGCAGGAAAGGGGCGCAATTACAGGCACGCTTGGGCAGGAAAGACGGGCGCGATCTCTGCCATCTATCGCGGCCATCTATCGCGGCCATCTCCCTACTCGGGGGGAGGGGGGGATATGGCCGTGATCGCGGTCACTACCCAATGCGGAGTTCATGAGCTGAGTCAAAATTTTTATGAAATTTTTGTTTGCAACCCGATTTGGTTGTGAACTGAGGTACCAGTGCGCCAAGGTACCATTGTATTTGCAGGTGGGGAATTGCTTAATTCTGTCATGTCCATGGTACTAATCTTCCTGGTCCAAAGAACCACACTAAGCACTGGAATTTTAGTGTTGAGTGTCTAGTATTTGTAGAGGATAATTTAACAGATTTACGTTACTGTCCATCTGAGCATCATGCGCGTGGTGCTGTAGCATGCACATTTCATGCAGCTGAGGGCATGTATCTTTGTCCACCCCCAAGTATCTTGCATTGACCAGAGCATCACTCCTGATTTTGCATGCTTCCTGTGGCAGCTGTCAGTTTTTCTTTCCTCTACAAATGGTAGAAATGTGACACTAAAATTTTGATGAATTTGTGACTGAGCAGGATGTCCCAAACTGAATGCTTTGTTAAAATAAACAAAATTGCTTACTTTTAATAATTCCAGTTCTATTTTCCTAGACCCTCTAAAAACATCCTGACTCACGAGAGGAAAAGCAACTTTCCCTCAAGTAAAAGAAATTGTGCTATGTTTCTTTTCCAGGAGCAGGTAGTGATGAACTTGGAGAGCCGCCTGCTGGTCTTCCCCCTGTATATTTCCTGCAACTTCCTGTATACATCCTCAGAAAAGAGGAGAGAGAATGATGCACGGCTAGAGTAGTGGACAACGCGAGAGCCACATCCGGAACTTGTTACAGAGGCTGCTTTAATTGGCATGTCCTTGAGGCACACAGATAAGTAATAAAAATCCTTGCCTTCTGCAGCAGATAAAATCCAATTTCCACACTTTATCAGTATGTTCCTAAAAACATCTTAACACTTTTGAGCAAAGTGGATTTTCAAAGAGTCACAGGGGCTGCAAAGCCTAAGAATTTATTTTTACCAATTCTTTGATAGTTACAGACAACAGAAACACAACTTGCCAAAATGGACCTGTCAGTTCAACGGGACTAGCATATTAGTAAAGTCTATGATAAGTGCTAACCTGAAGGTTTGTTTTTGCAGCTGTTAAGGGTTTGTTTCTGCCTTGCAAAATCCCACTGACTTCAGTAGTTACAAACAAGGGTTCAACTTACCCTTTTTATTCATGGTATTTTTTTATTCATGAAATATTTTGGGTTTAAAAAGATTTCTGGATGAGTTGAATCTTTTATATAGTATCCTATTTTGTTTTAGATATCTATTTTTTAAATGTCGAGTGCAGTTTTAATTCATTTTGTGGAATGCACAAAAGAAGAGTTGGATTGGGCTGCTCTCGTTCTGCTGTTTCCATGAGAGCTCCAGAGCTCCGATTCACCACAGGTCTCTGCTCAAGTAGCTACCTTGAGATCAGCTTGTTCATATATCATCCGTCTCTGTCAGGTTGCCAGCTTTGGGCACGAAGAGCTTTCTTGCCTAAGAGTTGAACTGACCACTGACTTTCTGCAAAGCATGGCCTCTTGGATCACTTCAGCTCAGTGGTGTGATGAGCCTTCCAAGGGCACCAGAGGCCTCTCAGGTTCTGGGCCTCCCCATTCACTCTCGGAGATTGTGTGTCTGCCAGCATTAAATGGTGTCATGGCAAAAGGCTGGGGGATCTATGCAGAGGTGTGGTAATCCTTAAAGGCTGCATGTTGCCCACAGGTTTCATCTCTGTTGCAGCCAAAGAGGTACCAACATTTTAAAAGTATGCTTCGTTTCATGAGCCCATTGGGAGTATGCATCCTGACTACACTCAGGGACCTGTGACCTTTTGAGTGCCTTTTGAGTGTTATGTGCATTTGCTTGCTTTGTTTACATCTGTTAATTCCAAGTTCCAAAGGCAGGAACCGAAATCAAGTTTCCTGTTTTGAGTTGGTGTTGAAAACAAAGTGGTCCACTAAATGTGAGGTTTAAACTAGGAGTCTGTACACAACTTTGTGGGGTTTGCTGTTGAATTTCTACCGTTCCATTTTTGTTGATAGCCTACTTTGTAATATTTAATTTAAAATATACTGTTTCTATGCTATAAAGAGAAAACAACTTGTTCAGCTAACGGAAACAAATGCCAATGCGAATAAATGACATACAGTTCAGAATTCATAGTATTGTGCCTTTGGGAATTGTGCTTGATGGAAGGATTCTCCTGCTCTTGGTTTCTTCTATTGCCACAAATCTCAGGAGAGGTAACTCTGAACATGCTTAATCTTTGGGTAGGCAGATCATTTGCAGCTCTGTGTACTGACTTGATTCTGTGGAAGTAGAGAAAAATGGTTGAGTGCGGGGCTGGTTATCTAAAGAAGCTCCCAGAGATGTTCAGAACAACTTTCTGAAAGGAAATTCCTACCCCCGTGGGCTGCAAAGATACCCTTGCAGTTGTCTGTGTGGTGCCACACAGTTGAAATCCTGGAAGCCAGAGAAGGGACTGCATAAGCTTTCCAGCATTGCTGTTGGCAGAGATCTTATAATTAGCGGGATCTGGGTAAGCGACAAAAGCTGCGCAGTGCTGAGTCTCAATGCAGACTTCTGCATGGCTGTCTCCAGTAGCAACATCCGGGTGCAGTGTGCTTGTGGACGCCATTCCGACATTCCGCTAAGCAGGCCAGGCTCATGGCGGATCAGCACATCGGGCGCACCAGGTGCCCCTCGGCTGCGAACCGCTCCCGTTGTCGCAACAGTGAATCCCACAGCCTGCCACTGGGGTGCTCTGTCCAGGGTCCTGAAAGGCGAGGGTCCCAAGATCCTGGAGCTCTCCGGTGTCCTGAGTCCCTGCAACTGCCAGGATGCCCCAAGAACAGAGCCCCCCCCCCCCCCCGCCAGGCTGGCACTTGGGAGCAGCTGTTCCAGCCCTGTTTGTGTCAGCGTTCAGCTCAGCTGCCGCAGGTTTCTTCCCATGCCACCAAGCATGGCATTTCTCAGTACACTGTGTCTGACTGAAACACAAAGCAAAGGCTCCTTTTTAAGCCAGGAAGAAGATTTTCAACGGGATCTAAAACTTGCTACTGGGAGATGCAGCTGCCCTACAGAAGATGCTCTGAATACGGGAGCAGCTGTAACAGCTCCCATTATTCCCTTTCCTTCCAAGAGTGCATCACCCCCCTTGGCATTGTGCAGAACTTGGGGCGTCTTCCTTGGTCCACAACAGCTGTCTGGAGAAGGACTCCAAAAATGTTTAGGCTTTAAGGAGCTACCTCGTAAGCTAAGCTTCCAGTCATGTAATCTCTGCTGGGTGATGATATCTTACATGTCACCACAAGGTTTAGAAAGACAACATGATCTAAGAAAAAGAATGGAAAGTAAAGCACACATTACAAAACCCTACCAAAATGATATGTTTTTCCATTTAAGTAGAACTAAAAACCAAACCCTCAAGTCCAGGAACTAGAAACTTAAGCACCACATTAATCAACCTTAGAATAAACTTGAGCTCTTGGGTATGTAAAGGAAGAAACTTCCGAGAGAACACAAGTATGCATGGTACTCTTCTGTGCCACAATTTCTCTTCAAGATTTATCTCCTAATTTTCAGATCTCTTCTCCCTAAAGCAAGTAGTACTGATACAGGTTTAATGGCAATCTCCAATCATGACCTATAACGTGTTAGTGAAAAGAGTCTTTTTGGTCCTGCTCACCTCTACCTTTTGTCAGAAATAGTGCATGGCTGCAGCTGGACATTATCTTAAAATTCTCTGCACTTCCTCCCAAACTGTAGATATTCCTACATAACTAAAATAACGATCTCAAGAACAAAATGTAGCTTTTCTGGCACAACTCAACAGTCTACTATGACACTTCTCTCATTTTCAACATTTTACAAATGAGCTTTATTTATTGATTTGGGGTGCAGTCTTATTCAAACTCAGGCTTCCGTGCTTCTTATGGCCCCAAATCCTGGCCCCAAACATAAACTGCAGAGATTAATGCTAGCTGAAGGAATGAGTACAGCCACAAATAAAACAGAGAGAACCAAAGAATAAAACCAGCTCAGCACAGAAACCAAATTGAAAGCAGCAGCAGAATAAAATACCTGTAGTTCTTAAAAGGCCAGGAAAAGCAAAGAGGTGGTCACTGTGTGCCAGAAAGATCCCTGGAAAGCCTCCCAGGAGAAAGTGTCCCACAAATGGCAAAGGCTCCCCCTTTTCCAACCTTGCCTGATTTCACGAGGGCACCTGAAGGGGGGCCTCAGACAGTTCTTAATGCCCAGTTAGGAAACATGGGAGGAGACCCTCAGATGGTTTCCTTTGCTTCCAGCTTTCAAGGAAGGTAACAGATGTCTGTTAACAGGCAATACCCATGGAAGCCAGAAGGTGGAGACCTGCTCCCACAATCTGCGTGGCCACCTGCAGCGCGGCAGGGCACTGCACTGCTGCCTGGGTTTGAAAACACTCCACAGATGTTTTACCTGTCAGGTACATACTGGTGTGCCGTCCGTGACTGGCATGGAGATGTGCTTTCCTCCAGGAAGCTCTCAGGTTGTTTATAGTTGTCATCTGGAAAAGCTCAGCAGATCTTGTTCCCAAATGTGTTTCTTCTGCAATTAATTGAAGTTCTGGAACACGTATTTGCCAATATTCAGTGTTGATCCCTGGGTTTCAACATTCTCAGGTGACGTGTGGCTATGCAGGCTCCTCAGAGTTGACCATCGTATCACAGCCTGTCTTAAACATACGGTCAAACCCCCCTGGCACCTGCTGTTGCTGGAGTGCCATCAAATCACCTCCAGCTTACGGTGACCCGGCGAATGAGGCCCTCCGATGTCCTGTCCTTCATAACCCCGCCCTGCTCTTGTCAACCCAGGGCTGCAGCTTCCTTGGTGGAGCCGAGCCATCTCATGTTTGGTCTTCCCCTTCATTTTCTGCCTTCGATTTTCCCGAGCATAATTGTCTTTTCCAGCGAGTCTGGCCTTCTCGTGATGTGCTAAACATGCAACAGCTTCCATTTTGTCAGTGTTGCTTCCAGGGAAAGCTCTGGCTTGATTTGATACTGGACCCACTTGTTCGCCTTTCTGCCGCTACAGGGTACTTGCAAGGCTCTCCTCCAGCACCACGTTTCAAGGCCATCCTTTTCTTTCCTGCCAGGTTTCTTTACCTGCCTGCTTTCACACCCAGTCCGAGTAGCATCATCTGCTACTCAGCCCTGAAAGAGGTAGTGCTGAGAACTGAACCTGGGACTTTCTGCACAGAATCAAATGCTCTGCCACAGAGCAAGGGCCTTACAATTTGCAGGCAGAGGGCTTTGCGTTCACTCACGCCCTTGGGCCTTTAATGTCTTGCCGTCGTATTCACTGGCAGGGAGGGCCAGAGACACAGGCAGGATTTTTTCAGAGGAAATATGTTAACCTGCTTCACATAGTACATACCTTTGCGGGGCAGGTGGTGAAATGCACAGCAGAGGGGGGCAACTTTAGGGGCTGTTTGAGTGTCTCCCTGGGATTTTTACAAAAAATGAAAATCGTCCATTTTTGCTGCTGAAATCCTGTTGGCCGGCCACTCGATAGCGCAGCAGGCGGGGCCCTTCGATGTTCTGTAAAGAACCAACGTGCTCCGTAGCCACTGTGGACATTTTTATTCCCATCTGTGAGCCATCTATTGCCCATTGCTGCTCTGGGGCCACCTCCACCCCACATCGGATGCAGAAATGTACGGAAGAGGCAATGGGTGCATCGTGTATGAAAAGTGGGCCCTTAAGTGGGAATTTAACATGCTTTTTGAATTTGCAAAGAAGGGTGAATACCAAGTGCCATTCATGCAGGGCTTGCTTTCTCCTGTCGCCGAGAAGTCCAGCAGTCCCTCGGTCAGCCCTTTCAGGCGTTCTCGCAGGTGCCGCAAGATGCTTGCTGTCTCCCCCAAAGAAATGCACACTCCCTCACACCTATTAGTGTGGGCCTGAAGAGCCCAACCTTGACTCCTACTTCTTATCAAAGCATTTTACTATGATTACTAATCTGTATTTGCGAATTAATTCGGCAATACTCAATCTGAAAAGTAGCTCTTATCTTAAAGAAACGGATCAGACTGACTAACAGTAAGTATTTACTTATCTATTTATATCCTGCCTTCTTTAAAGAACTCAAGGCAGCTTACATCCTTCTCCTCCTCCATCTTATCCCCACAACAACCACCCTGTGAGGCAGGCTGGGCAGAGAGTCTGTGACTGGCCAAAGTCACCCAGTGGGCTCCATGGCTGAGCGGGGACCTGAACCCGGATCACTGGCCTGTGCTCTTCGCCACGGCACCCCACGGCTCACTGGGCCTTTGGAGGTGTACACTGGGGACCCACTGCTACTCACTCGCTCAGCTGCCCCTTGCTTTGGCCGTGATCACAGACGTGGTGGGAGGGAGGAGCGGCCGAGGCCGTGGCCGTGGCCAGCTGGCGCGCTGGCTCTCTCCGGCAAGCCAGCCAGAGGGCAGAGTCGAGAGGCAGGAGCCAGGGCACCTGGCGACAGGAAAGGTGAAAAGCTGGGCGGCGGAGGGTGGCGATCCGTCTCAGGCGGCCTTTCCAGGGGCCTGCAGAAGCGGAGAGCGGGTCTGCACTTGTGCTCAGAGGCCCTTCAGGAAACGGAGGAAAATGAGTGGCCCAAAGAACTAAATGGGTGTGGTTTGGGTCCCTGTGAAAGGAAAATGAACGAAACTCAGAGGGAGAAACATAGAAACAGAACAAAACCTCCTGGAAAAAAAAAAGGGGGGGGGAGACTCTTCGCCAACATCTTTATACAGATTTAATCAGTTTGTGCCATTCACGCAGGTTGCAGAATTCTTTTCGGGCGGGGGGAGAATGTGCTGTGTCCAGTGCAGATGCTTTCCGCTTTACCTACTCCCCGTGGTGGGGAAAAGCCGGCCGAGCCGTGTGCCATGCAGCCTCCCTTGACACACCCCCCCCCGCGGATGGTTTTTCCACCACACGCGGTTCTCACTGCCCCGGGCTCCTGGCTGGCGGCCGGCTGGGACTTTTACCCAGCCATTCAAAGGCCGTTCTTGTTCTGTCCACTGCCTCCTGGAAAACCCCGAAAGAAGGCCTCCTTTCAGCAGACTGCTTTTCCAAGGCAGAAAACTGTCCTTTTTCAAGTACAAGGCGCACTTCTCCTTCGCTGCCTCGGACTGCATT